TACATTAGCTGGCTACAAAGATAGTCCAAGTCATTGCCAAAAACATCAAACTGCTACTCCAGTTAATACAAAATGAATGGCTGCCTGTCTGTCATATATATTGTCATCCAAATGATTTTTTTATTTTTATGGAGACAAGCAAGTGACACCAAGGCCAAGCTAGTTACCAGGCCAAGTTACATGTTAGATCTCTGGAGAGACAAGCCCAGCACATGGCAAGGATGCATGTAATTCTGAGTAATTAAACTTGTAATTGAATAAAGACAAGATATATTTTAATGCCACAATCTGGAACACACAGGCAAAGCAATAACAACTCCACAGAGAGAGTTAGGTGCCAGATGCCTCACCAGAAAAGATTCAGTACATTTAACTTATCTGTTGTCTTATATCAAGTACAATTGCAGATACAAATAATCATTTCAATAAATCTTGATTAATAGTATAATTTGAACTCATTCAGACAAGACTTTTTACAGTGTGCACATGATAATAATTACTTCTTTTAACTACAATGAAAAATTGTTATTCAAACTCTCTCCCCATGGCACCTCTTTAGCCTCCTCTGTCTCTGGTTTCCTCCACGTCTCATTACCTCCACCCTGAGCCTGCCTCCTATAGTTTCCCTTCTGCTGCCTCTGCTCTTGGCACCAGCTGCGCCCTTCTCCTCTGCTACAGATACAAAAAGTGTTGCTTCTACACTCTATAAAAGACTGGCACGGTAGGAGGCTTGGTGGCGGAGTTGTTAGTTCAATTTCAACTATGGGGTTTTCCTGCATGGAGCTTAAATGTTCTCTCTGTATCCAGATTGGTTTCCCCATAGCAAACCAAATATGCACAGTACTGTATAGCAGGTTCATTCTCCACAACTAGACACTAATGACTCTGGCTCACAAGCTGGTTTGGGTTAAAAAAGAGGACAGATTTCTCTATGTTGATGACTTTGTTTTCCAATAAAGTGTGCAAATACAGAATACAAATTTCTTGTGAAACTGCATTGTCATGTTCATATCTCACCGAGCTAAATCACAATAATAAGACTGTCTTCCATCTAGCAGAGATTTTAGTCCTTATGTCTTACTGAGTGAATAACAGAATCACATTTTTGGTTTTAACTTTATTTGACTTATACCTGCATTACCCAACCCCATTACATTTTATCATAAATAAATAAATTCCATTCCTCCCAGTAAATGCATCACTTTTTGACAAAAATCAGATCACTACATGCTATAATTTAATTATAAAATGTTTTGTCAAGGTAAACTTGTAAGAAAGAGCCATGTGAGTATATAGTGCTTTGAGATGAGAACATATTGGCTGTGCAAAGATGGTTCACATTTCCATCCCAAAAAAATCATGCATATTTACATTATCAGTGTGCCAAAAGTTTTGCGAGAGCTGGAAATAAGTTTTAGTTTTAGAAGTTTTACAAGATTTAAATACATATTTCCTCCTTCACGGTTTGAAAATCAGGTAAGCTTTATTGTCTCAGAATTGTACTGCAATTTCCAACATAATGATCAAACATAGAATTCTCCCCTCATTTTGCACCCAATCTCTCTTCTGGGAAATTTGGCTGCTACTTTAGGCTCTACAGTAACAGTATATCCCCGACTTACTCACTGAGCTCTTGGCAGGTGCTGAGGCAGTAACCGTGGCAACTCCCTGGTCCTACTTTAGCCCTATGGCTCGAAAATGCACTCATCCATCCCGTGCGTGTGTGTGTGTGTGGTTTAAGATAGTCTTTTCCTGTATTCACTCTAACCCACATCATTGTAATGGGTGTGAAGTCATTATCACCATTATCACTGTTATGATCAAGCATTGGGAGGGCTGTAATTACATTCATGTACGAGCCACAGAAAAAAAGATTAACTAGAACGAGTGTGGTATTGTACAGGCACAAAGGGAACAGATAGCAGAGACATATGTCATTTGTCTTCTGTTGCTGCAGGTACAACCACAAAACACCACAATTATTTTGTCTATTGAAGGGTTTCAATCACTTTCCTGTAATCTAAATCCACCCTGCACCCATTTTAAACAAGCCATTTCCAAACTGCTGTACAGAGACAGAATAACATAATAAAAAACACTAAAGGAAATAAGTGCTCAGTGAAATCCTACTAGTTCTGGGACAATAAAACCATACAATTGCAATAAATGCATAAAATCAATACAACTAATGTAAATAGATTAGAAGGACCACATAACTCACGCAGTGTTAAAAGTCAAAGAACAAAATTGTGGTCTCTGGAGAAGTGAGTCCCATTGTGTGAACCAAGATAAACGCCCCCTTGTCTCTGTTGATGGTCAGAGATGGTCAGGAAGCATAGCGCACAGACCATCAACAGAGACAAGGGGAGGTTTTCCTTGGTTCACACATGGGATTTGCTTCTTCAAAGACCATGAACATGAAGGGTGTTACAGGCATTGGGCCCATTTGTAGGGCCTTCAATAATTCCAAAAATATTATATTTTTGTTTTGTTATTTTGATTTGTTCATTACTGACAAAAAATTTTTTCACCACTACAAAACCCATGCATAACAATATCTGTCATTCAACAATATTAGACCTTTTGGGGTTCCCATTGTGACTTGGAAACTTTAAACTCAACCTAGAAGTACAAAAAAATATGAAAACTAGAAAAGCACTCAGAGAGCGCAGACCTCCGCCAAGGACTACCCCCATTTTTTATATAAATTGCGATAAAATCAGTCTTCTGGATCAGATCCGGATCAGCCTTTGGAATATGAAAGAGCATCCCATTGTCCATCCCTGAGTCAAATTTCATGGGGTTTGGTCAATAATTAACCGAGATATTGAGAAACAAAATTTTTGGCCCCATTTATCACAATGTTAACTAAAATTTCAAAGTGATCCAGAATCCAGGATTTCTTCTGGATCACCCCCAAAATGAAATCAGTTCTTCCTTTTCACATTTCCAACAAATCCTGAAAATTTCATCAAAATTGGTCCATAACTTTTTGAGTTATGTTGCTAACAGACAAACAAACAAACAAACAAACAAACAGACAAACGCCAGCAAAAACATAACCTCCTTGGCAGAGGTAAAAAGTGAAAAAATACCTTAATGTATAATGCATATATTGACAAAATTTAGATTTGGCTCAGCATCTGTTCATTTAGAACTGGTAACTCTTGTTAAAAAAAACACAACAAAACAATTATTTTGGCATCCAAAAGCCAAGTTCTTAAATAGGTTCACCACCTGCTGTGTTTTTACTGTAAATAAAAGAACATACAGACAGCAAAGATACACTAAGAATTGGAACTTAGCCTTTTCAGTGTAGATGTTATTCATGTGGTTTATTGTCATTTAAGGTATAGGCTATATTTTACTTTAGGTTAATGTTCTTGTAACTTAACGCTGCTGGTATCTTGTAGTGACTAGATGTAATTATTCTTGGTGGGGTGAGATTCATGCCACACCTTGTAAAATTTAATTATCTGTTATATGGAAACCGACTACTTGGCTTTGGTGCATTGTAAAAACTGAATTATTGGCAGAGAGGAAACTAACCACTAAATATGTCTTTCTCATTGAATATCATAGAGACAAAAGGGTAAAGTAAGCAATATAAAAGCAACAAAAGCAGTCAAATGTTTTATTCTATGAGAGGGAGAAGTCAGTATAAAACAGTTGATACACTTTTTGTTAATTTGGTTTACTTGTTATTCATGATTTGAATCATTGCTACCAGGGTGAATGAAAAAGAACAGCATTCATTCACATATTGTTGGAAGGTGTTCAGCATCTGCAACTTCACTGACCAGTGTTGACAATCACTTTTGGTATTTGAATGAAAAACATGCCAACTGGTTTATGTTTATTATTATACTTTCATCTTAAATTTTCTGTGGATAAAAACAAAAACTGCTGACACTTTAATGTAACCCCAGAAACAGAATAAAAACAGTAAAGACAATCTGGGAGTAAGTTGTGATAGTGTAATTTACACTGTAGCAAATCGTAAACAATACATATCAAATGTACGTTGTGCATTTCCATATCCACCGTCTCCTCACTTCTCTCACTTTACTTTCAAAATGTGGATTTCAGCTCAAAGTACTTACCTCTAACTCTATCGTCATTCAGACTACATCCTGATACTTAGCAATGGAAATACTATCTTCGCTCAAAAAAATTAAATGTCCTGAAATAAATAAATTATGTACGTTATCATGTAATTATTTTATGTTGATCCAAAGCCACAAATCAGGAATTAATGGTGGAAATCTTCTTGAAAATCAGTTAATTTAACATCAAATATGTACATGGAAAAAAGGTGAGATAACTAGGCCTGTCACAATAACAAATCTTGCTGAAGAACATATAAACTATAAACAACTAGAAAAGCACTCAGAGAGCGCAGACCTCCGCCAAGGACTACCCCCATTTTTTATATAAATTGCGATAAAATCAGTCTTCTGGATCAGATCCGGATCAGCCTTTGGAATATGAAAGAGGATCCCATTGTCCATCCCTGAGTCAAATTTCATGGGGTTTGGTCAATAATTAACCGAGATATTGAGAAACTAAATTTTTGGTCCCATTTACCACAATGTTAACTAAAATTTCAAAGTGATCCAGAATCCAGGATTTCTTCCGGATCACCCCCAAAATGAAATCAGTTCTTCCTTTTCACATTTCCAACAAATCCTGAAAATTTCATCAAAATCGGTCCATAACTTTTTGAGTTATGTTGCTAACAGACAAACAAACAAACAAACAAACAGACAAACGCCGGCAAAAACATAACCTCCTTGGCGGAGGTAATAATACTGAAACTAAATTATGTCATTGACACAACTCTAAAGCAGAAACCCCCCAAAAAGCTATTTTACATGTAATAAATTGCAATAAACACATAGCACAATGAAACATTTTAGTAGTTAGTTAGTTGCATCTATTATGGGAGATAGAAGTTATTTATTTGACCCATGTGTGCTGTGCTTGGTGCGCTGACTTACCTGGAACATGAACCGGTACTGCTCCTCCGGTTTTTGGACGACACACATGTTGCACCCCATGATGCTGGACCAGGCTCTCCTCTCTCCTCTGCTCTCTCTCTTTCTGGGTCTTTGTCTGTGGCAGTGCAGCCCCACCCTCAAATGGTTCAGTGTGTCTCACCACTCCTCCTCAAATCCTCCACATCTTCCAATCTTCTATTTTTTTTTTTAAATCCAGAGCAAACTTCTACAACAAGTCCCACGCAAACATGTTTTTTATTCTGATCGTAAGAGATGATTTTCCTTGGCTTTCTTTATTTGTGCTGTCCTTGTGGTTTGTGCTTGTGGCATTAAAAATCTGTGCTTTTCAGAAAAAAAAAAAAGTCACAGGTTGGTGTATGTTTCTTCACTCTTTCAACAAAACCGCCTACATTTGATCCAATTTTATTCACTCGAAGCTATTTTGCACAAAACCAAAATTCCCTTCAAACTAACTATGTGCTCGATCAATAAAACCTGTCATAATACATACACGTATACTTATACCTATTTTGCTTTCTCATCATGATTTAAACACTTGTCCACATAATTTCCATAACATGCCTGCTATGGTGGTGCAAGGCTGCAAAGTTTAAGCACTTGCTGTGCCTCCAAGATAAACCTGCCTGCCCAAAAATACACAAAATGCAACCTGAATCAAAACAGGGAATCCTTCTATCTCTTAACCTCCCCACATTCGCTACAACTTTACACTGTCAGCAAACATGACATAAACATACACAGGCATTTCCGATACTGCCAGTAATGCAATATTTTGAATGAAAGCTGCCAGACACTCTGTAGCCGAGCGGGGAAGTTGTAGCAGACAGGAGTGACGATAACAAACCCATGAGGTGTCAGCTGCTATGACAAGTAGCGTGTTCCTGAAGTGCATACACTGCTCCAGGCTGGATTGTAATTGAATTAGTGAAGGCTTAAGATTTGGCACAATCTTAAAATCAATATGTCATGTCAGAGATCAATTGGATTTTGTGCTTGAGGACACCATTCGTCAGCGCATCACATTTCGACTGTATTTTGACACTTCATTTTGCTTGCTCCATCCCCTAAAGGGTAGCCCATCTCAAAAGGCAATCTCCCCGGCATGTCTACAATGCCCTCTCCAATGTCTGCCCACTCATCCAGGCTAAACCTTTATCTATACAAGCCTCCAGCGACACTCAGCTAAAAGGTCCTTCTCCCATTCTCCTCTCTACAAGGTTTTAAATCTGGCTAATCCTCATTCAAGACACCTGTAATCCCAAGAGTGAATCAAAACAAGGAAGCTATCTATGAATCACACTTGCGCACACACCATATTAAAACTGTGACCAAACCAAGAACTAAACCTGGATTAAACCAGGACTAAACAAGGACTAGGACAGAACCAAACCAAGTCTACATCAGGACTAAACTGAGCTGAAAGCAGTACCAGAGTGAACTGACACTAAAAGTCCCTCATTCTTGTAGACTGATAGCTTGAACAATCCTTGCATGTGCATAACTTTACTTTCAAGACAAAAAAATCTAATTTATATCCTCTGAATTAAAAGAAAATCCCAAATCAAAAATAGTCCTTCTTCAGTCAAATAAATGAGTCCAGAAATGCATGGTATTCCTTAAAACAGGAATTGGGAGCATATAGTTGTTATTTCCATCCAGGTGCTCACAGCTGTAGAGTCTTGTGCAGTGCGGTGTCCTAGGTCAGTCGTAAATCAGACAAGCAGTGCCGCTGTCGCCTGATTGGAGGACAGTTTCTTGGCTTCTCCAGCATCCCCCCTCTTTCTCTCTCTTTAGGCGCGTCGCTCACATGTGCTACCCTTTCACCGCAGCCTGGAGCACAAACACAAAAGACGAGGGGAAAAAAAGCGTTACTATCACTACTGGTGAAATCCCTGGACTATCCACACCCAGCTCTCTGCAATAACCCCCAATCATTGCACCCACATGTCGTTATAGCTCTACCTCCTCTCTCTCTTCTCTCCTCTCCCTCTCTTTCTCTCTCTCCCCTGCCCCTTTGGAGTCTGCAGGCGCTAGAAAGCACTGCGTCCTATCACAGAAGGACACTCCTAAAGCTATGAAATCTATTAATATTAAGGTAGACCAATCAAAGCAATGACCATGATAGTAACAGTGTACCACCTTAAAAACCAATGATTTTGTGCTAGGATTTTTTCACAGCAGCCAAAGCAGGTAGTGAGGCTGCATTCAGATGAGATGGAGAAGGGGGGGAGACACAACAAGCGGGTAACAGGTGAGGAAAATGCAAATGTAGCTGGGTGGTCGCTATGGAGAAGATATGGCGAGCTTTTGTGTGGTAATCAAAATGAAATGGCTAGAGTAGCACAATTTGGGGGAAAAAAAACAATTACATTTGCAATTTTTGTTTCAATCAAATTCTTCAACTCACATTTTAAACACATCCAGAAGCCTTTGAGTGAATACTGAAAAATGAATTGCTAAACTAATACAAGAATAACAAATATTTCAGAACACGTTTGTAGTGGTCCAAACTACATAGTTAGACATTTTACTGCTTTCAGAGGACATTCTCTTACCTAAATAATTCCAGCATTTGCGATTTGATGATTAAAAAAAAGTGATTATAGATTTGATTACAATTAACTGTGCAATCCTACTGCCTACTCGAGTTTCACTTCTTATAGTATTCAAGCAGCCTAGAAGGGATTTGTGAGCAAAATTGGTTTCTTTGCGCCTCTACTCCAATGTTCTCCCAGCAGACAGCAATTGAATTTCCAATTTAAAAGAGGTCTTACTGGCACGTTTACCACAGTGCCAATGCCAAAGTAGCTCAGGGCAAGAAGAAACAGTCCACTGGGACCAAACAGGATTACATTGGCTGATATGAAACCCCTAAATGGAAGGGCATGACGTGATTTGACCTTTCAGCAGCAATACAGAAATCCTACCTGTTTTTTTATCTATCTGAAAGCAATTTATCACCTGCCAAAAAGGAGAGAAGTTTAAGCTCATTCATTCTGCACAAGCTCTACTCTGGAGACTGTGAGACGGTTTGAAACAGGATCTTATGGCCATAAATGTAAGACTGAATGTTGAACACTAAATCCACCTAATGCAGCCATTATAGACAGTGAATACACAGTTGGAGTTGTGTTTTGTTTCGTTCACACGTTTGAGTAACCCTTTATTATGTCTGTCAGCATCTCAAAATGCTCTGTTCCACCTTGTGATGTTATGAAGCAATAGTTTTGAAGTTTGAGTAGAGATTGGCAATTCCAGTGCTGAAATTATCGAAATAGTGTATGGAGTGGATCGCCTCTGGTATTACCACATGACATGTATTTTCTGCCTATGAGAAACACTCCTAAATGCCTAAACATGCAGGGTTTGTGTGTTAAACGTGTGAATGAAACAAAATACAGCTCATACGCTTTTGTTAAATACATTAGATCCAAAAATAGCCCTTTATGAGTACTGTTCAAACTTGAATAGAAGTAAAAAGTGAAGGTATTTGGTGAATATACATAATAATATACATATTTTTTCTATTTACAAAAAATCTGAACATCAAAGAAATATTTAATCTTATGATGACATTTAAATCTCCTTAAATAACCAACATACAGCTTTTATCACAATACATCGGCTCAATATAGTAATATTACTCAAGTGCAGGTAAATGTAACTCACTAATTCTTACCTCCGATAACCTTGTCACCTGGTCCAGTTTTGTCTAAAACTGTTTAAAAGGTTGGATAGTTTTTAAAGATCATCTGTCGCATGTGCTTTCAGTTGAATGTTACCTTTTAGTACCAGAGTTAAGAGCGCATCGGTTCAGTGGAAAGGGCAAATTTGACGCAGAAGCAGCTATTTGTAATCCTCCAGTGACCCCAACATTTCACCAATACTCTGCAGTTTAGTGGGTTTAGCATCCTCTACTAAAATGGCATCTTTTGTTTGTTACGTAAAGTTGGCAAGTTACAGCATGCATGGTCTAATTGTTAAATGCAGAGCCCTATAATCAATTCAGTGTAATATAATTAATATTTTCTACAAACAATTAAAATATATACATTTTAAACATGCACTTTGCAACTTTTCTTTCCTTGGTTGTCTATGGTTACCTCATGGCTTTGCCTGAAATATTCCACAGTATGGCATTGATCTAATATCTTAATGAAGATTAGATATGTCACCAGGCCAAGAGACAGGTCAGATCTGTGGAGAGACGGGCCACCGCAGAAAGCATCCATTCACACATAAACACAGATAATAGAATACATTTAAGACAGATATGATATGGCACACTATGGAAAGTTCTACGCAAGGCAAACAATACCTCAATGGAGACAATCAGGCAGTGAATCCCCAACCAGAAAAGTGACACAGTGCACCTTTAAATTATAATTTTGAGGCAATATAGCCCTGCAATTATCAAATACAGAAAATTGAGTTTCACCTGAATTTCTTGGGTAATGGTGCTATATTTTAATTCCCAATATTAAGGAGAATGGGACATGGTGGAAATACATAGGAGTAAACCAGTTACAATAATAGCATTCATGTCTATTGGATCAATGAGTTTCTGAACCTCTATTCAGTTTCTGATTATTTTAATGAGCACTGGAAATACTATGTGACTCCCTGTGGACCTAGTTAGATACAAAATTAAATCGTTAGAGCTAGTAGAGATAGATCTCATCTTTTCCATCTTTGCACTACGATACACAGCCTTTGTAGTCTAGACAGCAATGAAAAAATCTGTATTCCTCTTGGTACTCCTCCATATGCAAGCTTGTGTCTCACCAAAAACATTAATCAAAATATTATTTATACATGAGAAAAATGTATGCTGATCTTGTTTCTTCAATGAGGGTAAAATAAAAGAGTATCAGAACACGGCGGGACTGATGCGGGAACAAGAGGGAGATCAAAATAAAAAAATAAACCATGTTAGAAAAAATAGAGGCACATTTTTCCATTTTTTTTCAAAGACATGAGGCTTCCTTATCCTGGCAGAATTTTAATATATTCTCATAATTTATTTACTGCGATGTGGTGAATACTGCCACTACACACAGCAGGCTTAACAAGGGGAGTGTGCATTTTAACATGTGTTCACTATGTGTGTAGCTTTGTATTTTTATTGTGTTACAGGGACATAAAGCTACAATTGGTGACATTTAGCCTTGTTTTTGCACTTGCTCTGCAGAATGGTAATTATTCTGTAAGCAGAGACAATTCTCATTAGTCAGACATAGGAGATTTTTTTCTTTTACAGATAGGTCAAGGGAGGAATTAACTTAGCAACTGTTGTGAATATAATTATTTTGTTTGTTAGTTATCAAAACCTTAAACAAAAACAGTCAAGCTGTCAATGCTCCAGGCAGCGGATCTTCAGGAGAGCATCCTTTCTGCCTGTGATTCCATGTTCTCCCTGTCTCTGGGTGCTAGTGCTGGATGATATGACAAAATAATAAATGTATCTGATAACGATTGTCTATTTCATGTTGTCTAATTAAGAACAAATAAAAATAATTTTTATATTCAATTAGGTCCTTTAGTCACTGGCTGTTTAATACAAAAAGAGTCCTCCAAAGTCTGAACACTGCTCCAAAACACACGCTTTTATTGACAGAGAACTGTCTTTCAACCTCTCAATTAAAAAGCACCAAGAATATCATTGATGATTAGAAATGACTAAAATATGAGTTTGCCCCATAAACGTGCACAATAGACTCCAGCTAAATTACTTCTGAATTTTAATCTATTGTCAAAAAAACTGAAGAGAGCTTTTAGCTTAATAGCTAATTTGAGCTTGAAATTTTTGTATTGCAACAAAATTAAACCTTAGCCTAAGCTCTTAAGAGATGCTACTAGGGATGGACCAATCCAACTTTTTCAGTTCTGATACCAATTTCGATGCTATTTCTTTAGTATTTGCCGATACCTGATATCAACTCATATCAGTGCAAAGATTAAAAACTTAATTTTTCCTATTAAAAAAAAAGAAAAAAAAAAAGACAAAACTAATTCAAACGTGTTATGTGGCTGTTATTTACATCTCAAGTAACGACAGAACAACTTGTGTAAATGCAAATTCAAACAGAGACTTTCTGGGCTGTGTACAACCGATAAATAAACTTATTACATCAATGTCAATTTATGTCCAACCAAGATATCATTCGAACCGATATTTGAAAGTTGATATTCATACCGTCAAATTTTTCAGTAGCAGCACAGATATCCTCGGATCACTGCATCCCTAAATAGGACCCTGAGTGTAACACTAAGGTCATCTGTGCACTGCTCCTGACAAGCTGCCCCAGCGGTATTGAAGGATGGAGTCAAATGCAGAGGACAAACTTCCTGACAAGGACAATAATATGTACCTTAACCTTTACATGGTATATGTATTTATTATACTCATTGGTTCAGCATAAACCTATTTAAAAACAACCCAACTCCAATCATTGTTCCTAATTTCATGCTATGATTGATGTATGAGTGTATTCTGTTTGTGCTGTTTTATACTGCCTCTTGGCCAGGTTGCCATTACAAATGAGAAGGTGTACTCAATTGACTTACCTGGTCAAATATTTAATAAATAAATACATTAATTGATTAATTAATTAATTAATTTTAAAAATAATAATAATAAATTCCAGTCAGAATCAATCATCTGTCACCATTCCATTATACTCTCCATGGATACAAGAAGGTGATGTCACCAGGCCAAGTTGCAGGTAAGGTCTATGGAGTGGCAAGTTCTGGCACAGAATGCATGTTAATTTTTGAGCAATAAGAACATCTGCAATGAAATAAATGCTAGATAGATATGTTTAATCCTGTGGGACATTTTTTTCTATGTATACAATGTGCAGGTACAGGTATATGAAGGGGCCCACCTGTGACCTAAAATGACTCTAGCATTTCTTCTTACATTGTAATCCTTCATAACAGGAAACTATTTACTTTGGTCTCATAAAATGCAAATCATTACACCTGGGGGTTACCATGCTATTCTCACGCTTTATGTTTAGGTCAGCTCAGTGATTTTTCCCCTCACCTTTTGGGACATCCCAGGTCCATTTGTGAATGCTTATGATCTCTTCCTCTTATCAGTCCGACAGCTGCGGAGTCCCAGGGCACTGGCCTCATTGCCATTCTGTGCGAGTCCCTGTGTTTGTGCAAAGCCATATCACACCAGAATACACCATGAGACGGATGATGGTGGGGGTACAGATATATAAGGCGATATCTGCATGAAAAGAAAATGAAAATAGGGGAGATTGTATGTGAAGTGACTGAACGATACACTGTATATAAATAGTGTTGTTTTGTTTATTCAGAGTTGAAAGGTGTAGGGCTTGGGGGTAGGCCTGGCACGATAACACATTATGAAGCACGATATATTGCTATAGAGAAATATTGTGATAAACGAGAATATTGAAACTACTTTATGCACCTGACACAAAACAGAATAATCCCAGTAAACCAACTGTAAAGTGTAGAAGGCTCAACACTGGTAAAGTAATGGAACCACACTCCTCATAGTTGAATTTCACACTGATTAAGATTTGATTTTTTTACACTAGTGTATAGTGAAAAACTAATAACTCTATATTGCTATTTTTTAACACTTTAAAGTTAACACTTTATGAAGTAGAAATAGTGTAGAGTGTTCTTCATGTTACACTATTCAACAGTAACTCTTTCTTCACTAAATACAGTGTAAATGCTGTGGCCATTCTAGTTCATAATCCCTTCTATAAATGTAAAATAATGAAAACCACCACAAAATTCCATTTCAACTTAACTTGTATTAAAATAATGCACATCATACAAGTTTAAAGTCTGTGAGAGTCTGAGGACCAAGTGCCTAAATTCTGCCAGGTCGATGATGACATAAAAAACCTTTGTCCTTCCCACTTCAGTCACAGGTAGAAAGTCTGTCCATGCTTAACCAGCAAGAAATGTGTCCATACCAATCTGTAAAATAAAATATAAAATAAATATAACATATCCAAGTAGCCACCTTGCAAAATGGGCTATGCAATATTTAATGAGCCATGAATAAAAATTTTAAAGTAAATATATAGGAAATATATTATGGTGCATATATCATTATTTGTTTTTTTTTTCCTATTAAGCAGGTTAGTTTGTTGCAGTCTGTTGTTGAGTTGTATGTTTTTGTATACAGAAACCATTTAAATAAATAACTTGAAGGACAGAAATTATTATTTTTAAATGCAAGACCCACAAGAAACAAAACACCTAAATGCCATTAATCACGAAAATAGAATGAGATTACAGCAATAATTACAACTACTTAGCACATATATAAAATGCAATTAGTCAATTACAAAATTATTGGTGAGGTTACATTTCAGTTCTACATTTAAACATTTCATGACATACCTGCAAGTCTCTGAGGAGATGGTTAATGGCTTGAGCCTTCATCTTTCCACTGTAGCGTTTAGGAGTTGGGGATGCATGTGAACCAGCAGTAAGACACTCACTCTAAAGAAAATACAAAAAAAAGAATGTATCATTACTCTTTTTGACTAAAGGTCAATAGCATGTTAAGACATTGTATTGGGTAAGACATCATACTTGAAGATATTTTATTTTTTACAGAATACTAGTAAACTTTTGATTCAAATAATTTTAATAACTCTCCACTTGATACAATATCCTACCTCAACACAGCACACAAAAGTGTGCACGTTTATATGCTATTAAAAGAAATGTATGAAAAACACGGTGAAAACTCGGAAGAGCTAGGCTAACGAATGCTAAGCTAACGAATGCTATCCTGCCATTTACTTCAGTATAGACCGGGGGTCCGTGTCGCGGCCATTAGATTTTCGTTTGGAAATGGGGAATCAGTACCGCGTGCAGGCAGAGATAGGGCCGTGTGAGGGCGTCTGGATCAGGGTTGCGTGAGATTGTGAACACACGGAGTAGAGGCAGAGCAGGACTCACCTGGTTTAAGGCCAATTTATGGTCCAGCGTCAAATCGTCTGCGCCACGACGCAGAGAGTCCGCGTCAACGCGTTTCTAACTACGCGTCAAAACGCCGCAGACAGCCGGGGAAGCGACGCAGATGATAAGAGCTGTGACTGGTCCTCCGTACCACCGCTCTGTATAAATTTCCTGTCGGTTGTTCTTTCTTTCAGTATATATTGAGAAATAATGTGTTTAATGCAGCTTTGCGCATATGTGTTTACGTTTTACAGAAACGAAACTTAAAACCGCATGGCTAACTTACATAAACAAAGCGCTCATAGTCCACTCCAGGTTACGGTGCGTATACCGCGTCCCCACTGCCCTGATGTACAGCCTGCAGAAACAGTGAATTCCGACAGCTGTTGAGCGCTCTCCAGTCCCGCTTAGGGCTTGGCTCCACTGCACATGTATTACTATGGAATACGAAAGCTATGGAGTAAGAAAGCTGTCAAAAATATTTGTGCGCATAGAATAGAAATCCGTGCATATTTGGCTGTAGTTGCGCATAAAATAAATATCTGTAAACTCTCAAATGAGTCCAGTCGTACATAAAATATATTGTGTGTATTTTATCCCTCAGAATATGAATTGAAAAGTTACGACGTCAAGAATTACAATTACGAAATGAAAATTTACGATTATGCTTTCATCAGTACGAATACGAATTCACAGACGGGACTTTACTGTTAAAAATACGTCATCACTTCACAGACATTATTTATCGAGCAGTAGAAACATCGATCAAGACTGCGCATGCTTAAGTTTGTAGCAGAGGGTAAAAACAGAGTAATAGCACAACAAGGAGCTACAACAGCGATCAACAAGTAGGTTAATTAAAATGTATTGTAAAAATGTCTTGTCTTGCCACATTGAATTCGGGAACCGAACGCCGCTGTGTAATATTGTGTTTAAACACCTCCTCTGAACGGGAAATTGCACCTATATGTTAGATAACATATAACAGCTGGCTAACATCAGACGTAACGTTATCCCAAAAGCCCAACAGTGATATAGTGTAATATTCAAAATAGACAGTCTCTAAGTGTTTGACGTTTAACACTGTGAACCCACAACTCATTTTATGTCAACACTGTGTATCAACAACTACTTATTTTACTTTACAGCACTGTTGTAGTTGAAATAACTCTTGACTATGTTGAAATATATCTGGATTTTCTTCACTTTTCTCACAACAACACGATAAATATTGATCCCAAAAATATATTGTTCCAGTTTTTCTATACTGAACAATAAGTTAAGGCAGGCCTACTTTGGTATATAGTGACAAATATCAAATCATGGTCTCATCCTTGTCACAGTCTATTATCGGGGTCATATTGTGATTAAGAATTATTTAGATAATAAAATGTCCACAATAAACAAGAAAATATCCTATCTTTCTGTCTTGTACCTGTAGTTTAGACTTCTCCAAGCATATTTTAAAATTCATGGGAATATTGAAATAAATCAGTTTATTTCAGTCTTCTCTAAAATATTAATACTTCTTTAGTTGTTTAGAATTTGCACATTTGCACTCAGAATCTCAAATCTAGTAACAATCACAAAAAAAAAAAAATCACTGTTCTATTCCTAATATCTAATATTGACACTTTTTCGTATACAACCAATCACAGTGATCAACTTTCACAAGAAGCCAATGACTTTATTTATCTCTTAATAGCAATATAAATACAGTTAAGTGTAAATAAATTTAATCAAATTGAAATTGCAATCAGACTCCAAAAATTGTGACAGAAAATTTTTGCCCATATCACCCACCCCTAATTACAGACATAAGGCATCCATCTAGGAACCAGAGGATAACATGTCATATTGTCCAATGCCTTGGTAAGACACTTCACTCCCCTAATGTGCCTTATTGCATTTGGGAAAGCATCCGGCCTAACAATTTTCCAGAACCCATATGGGACTTGTTTTCTGTGGCAACCCTTGACAAAAAGAGGAGGAATGGAGTGTGATTATTCACTTCATAAGCCAAAATAGTTTTTCTTGTTTTGTTTCTGACAGGTTCTTATTTCCAGATTTCTGCCAGTGGGTAAGAATTGGCAGATAAAAATGAAACCAATTTTTTATCCCATTGCAAGAAATGTAATAGTAATACAAAAATAACAACATAAATCAAGATAAAAATTTGAAACAGATTTTAAAAGAGCACTTTTCTGATGGAATAAATGGCAACTGCTAGTCACATCTTACTGCTTTGCCTGGAATGTTTCACAGTATGGCATTAAATATATGTATCTCACCAAACAAAAAGTTATATAGTGCACCTTTATATCATATTTTTACAGCGTATCTAGGTCTAATCTGATTGGAAATGGAAGTAAAATCAGTGGAGAGTTTTATTACAGCACTTCAATATACATCTTACAGTATGAGATGAGAGATGGTGAAGGAAATGAGTTGATAATTTTCCCAGTGGATTTCTTTATTTACATATCAGATGTGGCAGATGATTGACACAACGGTGCAATGTAATGCGTCTTCCTCTCTGGGGCTTTCACCAAGTTGAAATGAAAATTATAGCGTTTTATTGCTCATGATCATTCCAGTAAGTGCTGACGCTAGTGAGATTTTCCTCTATGAAATCTGGACTACATCAAGGCAGGGCTATACTCTGAGAGTTCTGTCCTCTGATAGTTCAGTGTAGAAGGCATTGGCCATTAAAATGTAATAATTTGTTGGCCTATTTGTTGATTGCTTTGTTAGCAAGAAAGCAGAGTCAGGTGCTATTAAAATTATAGCATTTTGGGGGGTTAACACAAAACGGTAACAATGTGTGAATGTTCTAGCTCTGTACATGCAATATAGCCAACCTCATAACATGAAAACTGTGATGATAAGGCTATAATGTTTCTCTCCCATAATACTTAAAGGGGCATTATATATTATTTTTGGTAGAACATTGAGATGTTTCTTCCACACAACAGCAATCTCCATGGAGACAAACAGGTAACACCAAGTATTTTTAGACAATAAATCGCCTGTTATCGAAGAATAGATTAAACCATGGTCAGTGAGAATTCTGCCATGCATTTTTTTTTGTGTAGCCACACAGGTAGTCCAGCAACAGCTAATCACTGCGCTATATCACCATAGCAATGGGTAAACAAAAGAGAAAATTTTTTAGGAGGGACTAGCTTCAACTAAAACAGAAATATTTGAACATCCACAGACAGCCAAAAGGTTGCTAGATTTAAACTATTTTCAGTTGGTGGGACCATGGTATAATTAGATTCAACAGATCAGAGCAGTGCGTTACACTGTTTTATCGTTTTACTGTTTTACAGTTTCACTAGACTCCATGTCAGTGCATTAAAAAAGTGTAAAAAAAAAAAAAGGCATTATGAAAATTAAATTGTCCACTAAGTCAACTAAATGAGTTTTAGTTTCTCTGTTGTTTCTTTTATGAAACCAAAATGGCTTGTTTTGATTTATATGTATCTGTTTATCTGCCATTGTGTCCTTGGATCTGTCAGTTTCTTAAATTCCGTTGAAAACAGCACAACAAAGAAGTATCAATAATTTAACAAGCCTGTCTTTAAAACCCAGTGGATGAAATAAAAAGAAAAAGCATTTTAAATTACTATGTCTCATGAAGCTGGCTATCAAGTGGGTCCTGTAAGGTCCTTCTGTAAATGAATGGCTGTTCATACTGAGAGCAGAGCAGGGAGGAGATGGGATGGGCAAGTCTCTTGAGGATGCTTCAATGTTTTCAATCCACACACGTTACATCTCAATCTCTAATTCTCACCTTGTGGTAAAGACAAGGGATAGAGGTGCATGGATAAGAAGGAGAGAGGGCTTATGTTAAGAAACAAAAGGGATTTGAGAGGTGAAAGCAAAGGGGGTATGGAGTGGGTGTCGATTTGAGCCATGCTAAGGGGAGGAAGATTACCTGAATGACAGAGAGGGGCAGAGAGGGATAGAGAGGGGCAGAGGGGGGCTTAGTAGAGCAGTCTAATTAATGGATTCGCTAATGCCCAGGCTAAAACATGGAGTCTTATTAGAATACAGCAAACCAGTAATGTGCTCTCTGCGTGAAGGCTGGGAATACTGCTGTCTACATTGGTAACAGCACGGTCACTAGGGTGGATTCAGGAGGCCTAGCTAATATTGACTCTGTATCAGAATATGTCAATACGTTTGGACAATTCGCAATTAATACACAGGATATTGAGAAGGAGGTCAATGAACTACACAGAGAGGAACACATGCATAGCTGACTTTTTGCTGACAGTCTAAAAACATAAACATGAATGATTTGTTAATGGAATATGCAAATAAAAGTATAAATATTTTTTTCTGGAAAATGGTGGTTGAGCCAGAGGTCAGTAATTTAATTCCCACAAAAGGAGAGCATGAGTCAGTTAAAAGAAAAGGCTTTGGTCAGAGAGTAAAAGTATGCACAAACACATTAGCTAAGGTGGCAGATGTGCTTTGCCTATGGAGAGAATAACAGACCATTGTCAGTTATGCCAGTCTGTGAATTAGATCGTGAAGGTCTATACCAACTGCAAAATTACCAATACCAGTAACTGACCTACCAGCTCTACTAACTTCAGTTACCAAACACACATTTCAAAACATCAAATATTTGAATCAGTGTTTGCCTATTTACAATTAATTTAACAAAATGCTTCATTAAAACCCACAACAAGAGCTAAATTAATTTTCAAAAGTGATTTTATGACCATGTAATTGATGATACAACCACCCCCAGGGCATCTCCAGATTTACAACTGTGCTCTATCTCTGCTGACTTCTAGGATCAATAAACACTATATCATTCAGCGCTGCATGTTTTTAATAATCAATACAAACATGTTTCACCGGTGAGCCCCAGGGACTTGTGCTTTCCCACATATGCACACCTTGATGCACTGCCATGAGAGCAGCTTTGAGAGGAATCCCAATAATTCCCCTCCATCTCTGCCTGCGTCTGATCTCACCTAATCTGATCCCTGATGACTATCCCAAGTCTAAACGTTGCTTTACAGACAACCAGCTTTAATTCAACTTCTTCACATCACTCTCTATGGCAGCTAGTGTCTTCATATCATGTAAACAATTAAAAAAGCCTTTGTAGTTTGCTGCAGTGACTTTGAAATGCAAATTGTGTATATGTGTATGTATAAACAATGGGGATATGAAATGCATCAGTCAGACATGATAAACATAGAAATAAATAGCTTAAAGGAATAAAATATGCCTTACTGTTGGAAATGATGCTTGGCAATATGAGTAATTATCTAGCCAAAAATACTGTTAATGAATTCTTTGAATTTTGTCCTTTTTGAACAACAGAGTAGAGGAAAAATGAGGCTTTCCTGTTGTGTTCACTCCCCCTTGACACTGCTGTGATTCCCTGGACTGTCGGACACAGAGAAGAGACACTTTTGTCCTGAGGGCTTTTTCTTCTCAAACTACCCTGACACAGGATCTGCTGATCCTACCTGACCAGTTGTCCTGTTATGCTGCACTCAGACCTTTGACTCAGACACAAAGGCAACTGAGAATTTGTAGAATTTACCTTGGGATCTATAGAGTATCTATCTATCTATTTATTTGAGCCCAGTTTATATGCATATAATACATATAGTTATAACATTTCTGTAATATGCCAGAATTATCCAAGAAAAAGTTTTTTTTGCCTCTATCTGTTTAGTCCCAGTTTAATACCAATTTTGCTATGTGTGTGCAATCGAATGCACACTTTTTCCATGGGTGAAACTGAAATCTGTACTTAAGTGGATTTGCTTCCACTTTGATTGAGTTAACATTGTGGGTTTCTGTAGATGTTGGAGAGGCTGTGAGCCATCTGCATCAGGGCAACTGTGGCTCCAGAAATGGCTCAAAAGAGTAAATCAAAGAAATATAAAATGCAATGAAAAGGATAGATTTGGCACAGGTTGCATGTCCAAAATGTACAGAAACAATGCCATAGGCTGTGACAATAGATGTTTTAGTAGCATAATCCAAATATGGATGCAAGAATGGCATATAGTCCATTCTGAAAAAAAAACAATAATTTGTTTTAAACCAGTTCAATAGTAGCCAATACATAAGCGTCTTCCATTTTAACAATAACCACATGCCGCCCAGGTGTTTTGGAAGACAGAGCGACTCTTCCCACACACTCCTGCATATTTGCCCCAGGCCCAACCAAATCAATATATCATTAGCTAGTCTCTGCACTCACTCACCCCCACCCAGAAAAACACCCCACCTTATACTCAATTCTACCCACAATTCTCTAATCTTTTATGCTTTTTTACCGCAACTCTGCACCTCCATCACCCCATTCAAAACCAGTAGAAAGGAATCAAGTGACTGCATTTTAAGCCTTGACAGGTATAGGGAGAGATTGAAATATGAAATAGGGGTTCTTGATTTGGGGGAGGGGTAGCTGAACTGTAGGCTGGCTGCTTGCTTGCTTGCTGTGAGGGTGAAGTGTAATTGCCTTCTGTAGTGGTTGGACCCCTTTTACCAGACTGGTGGCAGGGAGGACATCCTTAATGCTTGAATTGTTCCATATATAGTACACGGCTGGCTGTTGTTTTGTCTGTGCACGTAGCAACAAGCCCGGGTGTCAAGTAAACTGGAACACGTGATGTGGGAGCTTGATAGGTGACATGGATGGCTAGTAAATCAATACTAATCAATACTAAAACTAGGACAAAATGTGATCATTCAGAATAGCTTTAGAATTGTCTTATCATTTCTTACCTCCTATCTTATTTAACAGTATAAGTCTACTTGGTATCATTGATAAAATAAAATATATTATTTTGTGTTAGATGTTACTTTCTATTGCTTAAGTAAGGATAATTTTTGTATTGGTAATTGGTATCAGGTATTGAGCTATTCCTCAGTAGAGACATCGAGAAAAGTAAGAAAATGTAATTGCGAAGAGATTTTGCAATTACAGTTAGATTTTTTAATTTAAAATGAATTCATGGTGCACATTAAAACAGGTCCAGTAACCTTTGAGAGGTGACTAATACAAGAATCAGATGCATTTTAGATCTTGCAGTCTAAACTACAAGGTTAGCAGGTTTTATACTAAGACCCCATAGAGGCAGGATTTGTTGTTTCTTAGGAAGCAGAAACTAGGAAATAACATCAGATTCACGGCCATTTGTTTAATTTTGCAGCAAGCTAAAACAGGGCAAAATTTCCATATTATTTAACTATAGATTTATTTTTACAGATTCTTCCTCATCTTTGCCTAAAATAGAAATTCTCTACAGGCCAACCCCGCCCTGTTGGTTTATACAGCGATACTCTTCAATCATTTTCACTCCAGTTAGAACTCTATGACAAAGGGTGAAGGAAAGGGTAATTAAAATATGGATATAGCGCAGTGAACACATCCACTAGAAAGTCTATTCATATGCATAGAAATGAAAGAAATGGAATGTGCAATACAACTTGATTGGATTTTCCTCAAGCAGGAAATAGACAACTTTGATAACAAAACAGACAGTAGCTTCCTCCCTCATCTCTTGCACAAACAGGGACCATAGAGCTTTGACACAGGAATATAGATACTGCCACTTCAAAAAGGAGATCAGATATGTGAGTGTATCATAGGACTACCGCAGAGAGAAGGGGACTGGGAAATCGGGGCGGGTGCAGATGGAGGAGTCACCTTGAGGAAAGGAAGGAGGGAGGGAAGGGACACAGCAGCACTGCCTAGTTATTTCTTTTCAGGTCATCCATGTGTGCATACAGAGTGGTATTTATAAAGAGGGAAACCAAGTGCTCTGTGGAAACTATAGACACAGGCCTAGCACACTTTCATCATCAGGAATCAAATTTCAGTGACTACTGCGGGAGAACATATGCACATTTTATACATAAACTAAACTGCCTGAAACAGCAGTAAACACTCTTTTCAGGTGAGCATTTTTTTGTTTTGAAAATTGCTGTGAATTGCTGTGTGTGAGAAGGGGAGGCAGAAAGTATAATTATTTATTATTTGGAATTACTAAGGGAACAGTCTAAAAATAAAGTCGAACATCTGCACTAAATACCCAAACAAATGTGATAGTGTAACTGGGCTCTATACAGTTTTTAAGCCACTATACAGCAGTGACATCTCTTGGTCAAAAGCCTCAATAGCAATAGAGGAAGGAAACTACTGAGTTAAAGGTTAAGCCTCAAAGGAAATTCAATGAGATTCATGTGTGTGTCAAGGGCACTTAAAGCATTAGTAGCTCCCCAGAAAGTAAACTTTGATTGATGTAATAAAAACAATGGGAGGCAATGGGGCAGAATATGTGGGTGTAGGTCAGAAGGAACAAATTACACAAAGGTGTTCACTATAACACAAAGGTGCTCCAGAACAGCATAAAGGACTTAAATAGTGTAGTGTAACCTACCTTATAGACAGCAAAGACTGAGACAATCAAATGCAGGACAATGTGGTAACGTTCTTTGGAGGACAGGACATCACAGCTGAATTTAAAGAATGAAAATTAATGTTATGCTCAAAATCCAATGTTTATATGGCATAATGCAAGAATTCATATGGTATGGTAAGTAGGCTTAAATAATGACTAATGTAGACGAGACATACATGGCCTATATCATACCACTTTTGATGTAATCTTGTGCTTTGCTAATCATTTATGCTCGTTTGTTCTTATAAGCCCATCGTACTACAGAACTTAATTTGTTTCAGTTACCTAATCAGTCAACTCTACAGTCGGGATTCCAGGCGAATTTCAGCCACAGGTTTCATTCTTTCCAGTGCCAGCGTGTTCATTTTGAATATTATAACAACACATATTTTAAAAGTATAATTATTAGACAGACATGCAAACAAATCCGTAAATTAAATTTATCTATCTATTTATTTATTGTATTTGCTTGCCGCTGTAGGGGCTAGCACATGATTTGGTCTTTAGACGTCGAGGAGGAAATAGCCAATCACAGACGTTCATTGGCTGCGTACGACGGAAGTCAACATTTAGCCACAGTTAACAAAACTTCCCTCTTAGCCAAATCCACACACGAATGCTTTTAAAATGGCTGATTGTTGTATTATTGGCTGTGACAACAAAGCAGCAAAACGTGGAGAAGTAAAATTTTACCCATTACCCACCGCTCAAAGCTCACGGCCGTTTAAAGTGAAGCGACGTCGGCTTTGGTTGGAGGCGATCGAGAAGGCGAATGGGACCACGGAGGGATTGGGCCATGATTCTCAAATATGCAGCGCACATTTCGTTTCAGGTAACCCCATGGATCTATTAAAATAACAGGTAGCCCAAACAGCCAATGTAAATAAGGAAATCAAAATTTTAAATCATACATTTTCTAGTATAAAGCTCAACATAATAAAAACCCTTGCTTAAGTAACTTACTCATAACTCACTATCCACCTCTAGTAAACAAATCAAAAGAAATATTAGTAGATGAAATATAGACTAGAAAGCATGCATAAAATAAGGTGTTAAAAACAGAAAGTAATTTGACAGAATTCAAAATATAGAAATAAACGGAAATATACTATATATAATATATTATATATTGCTGAGTTGAATGTAGTAAAAGAAATATATTAATTACACAATTAGACAACTGATGTCACACAATCTACACACAAAAGATTATAGTGACCTTTACCATTGCCGTTACGATAAGGGTAACCTATAGAGGTGAAGTTTATGCTTTCAAACTGGAACTTCCTTAACCCATTACCTTGAATTGACCAAATCTGCTTTGCATTCCACAGGACAAATGTCCCTTGAAATGTCCGACCAAGACTTTATCCCATCTGTATTTCCCAAGGAGCACACAACAAAGTCAAGGCAAGTCATAAATATAACTTGATAACAGCTTCAGCGACGATTATAACAGTGTACCAACCAATAAGGCAATATTATTGGTTAGAACAAAAGAGTCAAATAAATCCTTTAAATCATTTGAATTATTTTTCTAAAACCCATGAAAATGACAGATAATAGCATCCCAGTGGCATCAATTTTGATTCTAGCAGTTCATATATTAGTGTATATATTATATTAGACTATCAGTATTAGGTGCATTCTGCATACATATAGACCTAGTATCCCAGTTTAGACTTGGCTTTCTTGGTTGTTGTGTTATTGTTTCTTTATTTTTGGTTTGCACAAAAAAATGAAAAAAGAAAAAACACTTCCACCCTTGTTTTGAAGGCGCATGTCTGTCCACAGACCTGAAATGTAACTTTTCTCTTGAAGGGTCTACCACCTTGTCTCTATGGATATATTCTTACTTAATTAAATCATTTTCACATTATCTGCAGTACCACCTAAAGAAGACATCCTAAATATAACTACATTAGTTCCCTTTGTCCAGGTTTTTCTGCTGACTTTTAGACTTTTAGTTAGCTTTACATTACCATTATATGCAGCACTTATACTTGCAAACATCTTGCTTATAAAATCTGTTCTCTGTAAGTAAAGTTGGATTGGATGAAGGATTTTTGCAATATGTGTGTGAATGAAACAAAATACAACTAGGATATGTTTTTGATGTGAAAACTACATTAGTACATGGGCAAGCCCTAATAATTAAATATGGATCATTCCTCGCCAAATCTCTGAGTGTCCCCACTCAATCATCTCAGATTTGACAAAAAAATTTCCAGGAGGTTCACACACTTTCCAATAGGAAAACTCCCAAATTTTAGATCCCGACTCCTTACACTTTTGTCATTAAAAATATTTTGTCAATTGACCTGCTTTGATCAGAGTTTTCTGAGGAGCTACTTTCAGATTGCTGTATCTAAAAAACTATTTAAGGTCACTCCTTCAAATTTTCAAGGGTAAAATTTGGCAAATGTACTTGTAGAATAGTAAGTAAGTAAGTAAGTAAGTAAGTCTTTATTTATATAGCGCTTTCACAGACATTTTCTGTCCACAAAGAAGCTTTACAGAGCATTATTCAGCATTATTCATTCAGCATTCATTCATACAGCATTATTCATTCGCTCTATACCCTGGTGATGGTAAGCTACTATTGTAGCCACAGCTGCCCTGGGGCACACTGACAGAAGCGCGGCTGCCACGCCACTCGGCGCCATCGGTCCCTCCGACCACCACCATCACTCACACACACACCACTTTCATACTAGGCAATGTGGGTGAAGTGTCTTACCTAAAGACACACAATGATTGAATTGATTGTATTTAACTGACCTTGACTAACAACTGTTTCTGGAGACCTGTAGCATGTTTTGGGTTTTTTACATTCATAATGAACAAATAGTTTATTAAGATGATTTAGGCTTTGTAAAAATTAGGTACAGGACCCTTAACTCTTTTGTTCTTTTGGAAGACTCCTACTAGCCTGATTCATCAGCCAGTTTCACTTCGTAGAAACCGTCTGACCTCGCAGTGTTAGAATTCATTCACTCGACGGTAAACGGGTACTTTTTTCATTTAACCAATCGCTGCTATTTGGTCATGATGTATGTAATGCAATAACGTCTTTCTCCTTGATAAAATTCACTAAATATTCTTTTTATTCTAGCTTTAAATCCTCAATCTCGGGAATCGTTGACAACACAGAATATATGGCTCTTTGCTGTAGGGATGGGCATGATAAATCGATTAATCGATAATTGATCATTAAGAATTTCATCGATTACGTTAATTTTAATCGACAACTCGAATGTAGGTTGCTGTGCGTAACGTGACCAAGCAGGGGTCCGTACATGTAGCTCTCTGCACTCAGAAGGAGCGAGACACAAACAGTCGGTCAGTCTGCAACTCAAATGCGTATTTAACGATGACTTGTGCAAGAAATTCCACGCTTTCCGTTGCGTTCGGGACAAGTGTGAGTCCATGTGCACAGTGAACAAAGCAGCACATATGTTTCGGTGTCCAGTAGGAAAAAGTTTTGCCAGGTGAGAGTCGCGCAATGTTGATGACGAGGACCCACCTCCTACCCTCCGTACGGTGTCCTGGTTTTGACAAACGCAAATATGGTCACGCTAACCTGTATTCCACTGAATCATGTCTTTTAATCCAACAGAAGTTGACCGCATCAGCGCACAAGAGCTGTAGTTTTATCTTCGCTTAGTTTCTGCAAATTAGCGATGCGGTTTTAAGTTTCGTTTTTGTGAGAGTTACGCAAAACTGCGTTAAACACATTATAATCTCAAACGGATTGATGTGGCTCTAGAGTCGTTACGGTTTATATGTCATAAAGTTGAATTTATTTATGCAGATTAGTAGTGCAGATAGTAATAATAATGATGATCATTTTAATATAAACACGTTAATGATTAATCGATAATCGATCGTTAATTCTTCCGATGATCGATTAAGAAAATTTCATCGAATGCCCATCCCTTCTTTGCTGAATGGCTGGTGCCTAAACTTGTACTTCCGGGGTGTTTGCAAACCGTCTAGTACAGGGGTGTCAAACTCATTTTGGTCCGGGGGCCGTATCCAGTTTACTTTGATCCCAAAGGGGCCGGATCAGAAATCTCATGGCATATAAACCCCAAAAATAGCAATAAGTGCAGAGAAACACAAATCTATTACAGAAATCTTTTTTAATTGATGAACTCTTTCTGTTACAAAATATTATAATATTATGAACAACCTGAAACTTTAAGAAAAATGCAATTTCAACACAACATTTTAAAAATAACTTGTATGTAAATAGGAATAAGTCAATTTTTCTTGTAAAATCCTGCACTCAGCTCCACTTTTCTCATGTTGGACATTTTGTTGATGAGGGTGTCACGGTCAACAGTCAAAACGATCGTCCTTTAAGAGCGTTTTGGAAAGAGACAAGTCTGCTGCTCTGGTGGGAGGGGCCACGTACAGAGACGCTGGAGACGTTGCTGTGATTTAATAGAAAATATAATTTAAATATTTTAGTAGAAAATCAGCCGAGGGCCAGATTAAAGGTCTTGGAGGGCCGGATCTGGCCCCCGGGCCTTATGTTTGACACCTGTGGTCTAGTATATTCCAATTTCTGACTTAGTTGCTGGAGAGAAATGAAATTGAGCGGAGGCACTAGGTGGCGCCAGCTTGGCTAGACTCCTACCAAATAAATTGACAATTGAATATGATACAGAATAATAACTTTAGTAATTATGTACTTTTTAGATAATACATTTTCACCTATCTTTAAGTTGTTTTTTTTAATTTTCTCTTTGTTTGCTTTTTTAGAAGGCAGACCTTGAGACCACGCCCAGGTGTACGTCCTGAATCCCCCAAAGTGACACCAAAAAAACGGAGACCAGTTAATGAGAAAGTCAGCCTGTCCAGCAATATTATTTTGCCTGAAAATAATTATTGTGAACCTTTGGAGGTATGGAACCAGCTTTGTCATTATTCTCTCTTTTAAATGTGCATTATATTACTTGTTTGCATTATTACTGCTTGTCTCCCTAAAGTTGTAATTGTTTTGTCTTAAATGTTACACACTATGGCATTACTTTATCTATATTGAATTGATTTAATTTCAAGTATTCTTATTGCAGAAATATACATTAAAACAGGCATTCTTATTGTGAGCCAGGTCTCCGTCAAGTCAAATTGCCACACTGTGGAACATTATAGGCAAAGCAGTAACCATGGAGACAAACAGTTCCAAGTTACTTTGTGCATTTTTGATTGTGTTGTTGTATTCTGTAATTGTAGTTACAGTTACAGTATTCCATGCATGGTTTTCATAAGTTCACAAAAGGAGTTCTTTCTGTGCTTATTTTTACAGGATGAAGGGGTAATGGAGGAAGATGTAGTGAAGAAAGAAGTAGTGAATGAAAAGGTATCCAAGGAAGAGCCACCCAGTAGTGAAGAAACTATAGAATATGTAAAACTCAAAAAACCCAAGTTGGAGTTGAAGTCTATCGTTGATTCTGGTCACTTTCGATGTGAGGTGTGTAATGGTCTATTCTCCACTGGCCAAGGGCTTGTTAAACACAAACAACTCCATGAGCAAGAATGGTCTGATGAAGATGAAACTCTGCCCTCAGTGTCTGACTTTATGGTAAAGAGTGAATTTTTTGAAAAAGCAAATGCAGTGGAGGAGCCTTCATTTCAATGCAATATGTGCAGTCGATCATTTCCAACCACCCATACCCTGAAACGGCATAAACTTTTGCATGTTCGAGATGCCAGGAAGTGCACACTGTGTGGGACAATGTTTTGTAAGAGACATAATCATATTGTTGCCCAGCCACAGATTTCCACAGAAACTAATTTTGAAGATGATGAAACAAATAATATGAATGAAACGGCAGAAAGCCTGACGCTAACATCAAGTGACGGTGATGATCTTGATGAAGGTTTAGAGCTGCTGCTAAACTCTGATAGCCCAACACTGGAATCCATAGTAGCTACACAAGAACAACTCGAATCACCAGCTGATCTACTGCACAAAGATGCCCCAGCCATTACTTATAACCCACGGAAACCAGGCCTTCTTACAGCATTCAAGTCCTTTTTAACCAAACACAAGCCTTCTGACGTTAAACCAAAAAAATATATTATTGGCAGGTGCCAAAGCATGATGGCTACGCAAACTACTGCCACTTGCACTAATGCTATTACTACTACTACTACTCCTATTATAACTCTTACTGCCCCTATTACTGCTATTACTCCTCCTGTTACTTCTATTACTCCTCCTGTTAATGCCCCTATTTCTACTGCTACTCTCCCTAAAACTACTGCCAGTACTGCTATTATTATGACTTCCACCACAGGCATGATATCCAAGCCAGTGTCAAAACTGTTCAGCAAAACAGATGGTTTGACAACGTCTACAAAAACTATAACCCCTCAACCTGGAAAACCTGTTATTATTGTACCCAGGCAACAGCAGCTTCATGAACCTTTTCAGAAAATGGAGCAATCTACTGTCTGTCTGTCTTTTTCCAAGCCACTACCAACCAACGTCATACAAGAGTTCATGACGTATATTAGCAAAAATGAGAGCATGAAATCAACAACACCACGACTTGTAACTTTTACTACTAAACAAGATCAAGTAATAGCCAAGCAGGAGACAAAAGAAGTTACCTCCATAATCAAACTTGAGCCATCTATAACTCCTATTACAACAACTCCTTTACCTGAAAAATCTGTTTCACTTCCAAAACAGGAAAAAACTACCTATATGATCACCACTCAGCCAAAGTCAGATCTCAAAACTACTCCTCAAATAATGAAATCTCCCATTCAGAAACCATCCATTCAGAAAACTCTACTTCCAAAAAAGACTTCAGCTGTTCCTTCTGTTAAGCCTAAAATCAAACTCAATAAAATCAAGCCTAAACCAACAGTGCAAGCCCTTTACCAGCGTCCTTATGTTCATGGATCCCAGCCACCTTCACCGGAGCCCATCTTTGCTAAGATTAAGAGCGGGCCTTGGGATTCACCATTTCCAAATTACCCCAAAGATTTCGTCCAGCCACACCTGCCCCAGACTCCATTACTACCGCCCACACTACAGATGTTCTCACCACAGCTCCTCACATCTGCAATGCTCGAGGTGGAAAGAAACTTTGAATGTATTTTGAGTAACTGATGCTTGCTAGATGCAAAACACAATCAAAGAATGACTTGATTACCTTTCACTACAAATACCATCAAAAAGATTTTTTTTTTTAGTTTTATAGTTTTAAGGAGTTTCTGTTACACTGGTCAAAACTTGTCATGTGTATGTTCATCGTTTATCACTAGAATTTTCAGTGCAACTCGCAACATGGCATGAAAGTTTAAAAGAGATGCTGCTGTTTTATGTTTACAATAAGACATTTCTTATAGATGTTGATCTTTATATTTTGTAATAAACAGGTCTATTTGTTTCATGGCAGTGTTATATTAACCTTTGCTATATAAATGAGTACAGTGACAAATCAGTACAATGAAATAGTATACCGTTTTTAATTGATGAAAATATAATGATAACGTTTGAATAGTTGATTATGCTGTGTACAAGTTTGATCGCAGACAACTGCATCATTGCACCGGTTCACGCTGATTATCTATCCAGCTTCCATGGTCCAGCTGCATGCTGTACGCGTCCTATTGGTCTCGTGCTACTGAAAACCAAAGCAACGATTCGTCAGATTACACGTCACTCACAGCCACCGACACAGTTCATTGGCTTATGTCACGACGCAGAAGAATCTGATTGGTCGCAACATTTACGCATGGTGCTTTGGGTGACTGGAGAGTGGTGCTGATGCTGTGACTATGGGAGGCTTCAAGATAAGCATCATCTGGACCGAGTGAGCGTAAAACTCGACGGTACGACCCAAAACAAGCGGAACATAAGGAAAACAGGAGAGCGCGGTGAGGAGGCCACAACCGCGGCTGGTACGGTAAGTCTGTGTCCTCTGAAAGAACCACGCTCCAGGCGTCCAGTCAGCCAGAGACATGGGGGGCTGGGAGAGCTTCACTGTAAGACTGCAAATCCGGGTGACTGCGCTAAGGTTATAGCTAACATGAGTGTTACTGCTTAAGTGCTATGCAGTTATTTTGTACAATTTAGGCAACTTATGGTTTTAGCTGTTTTAGTGAAGCAGAGCAAATAGTCCATAGCTTAATAGAGCATGATTTGCCATGCAATTGTCTATACTGTAACTACAGGCCACTGTAACAGTAGCAGCCTTTGTTGACATTTTACTAATGGTAAACAATATACAGACTGATCTGTCGGCTTAAAAATAAGCGTGCATAACGTTAGTAGGCTACGTGGGACTTTTCATAGACTACTGCTGAGCATCTCACTGAAGTTGTTTCTACCTTGGGAATTGACAGAAGGGCATTCGTGGATGTGCATCACCTGCTGTTTTCATTCTGTGTACTGGCAGAAATAAGCATATATAGCTATATTTGCTCTAACATGGCCCTCCTGTCGTTTGAACCCAGGGATGGGAGTTTTTAGCCGACAGAAGTTCTTTGAGGAGCTTGCTCAGGGCTGTTTGCTGCCCACAGCTCAGCAGGGCCTGGAGCAGGTATGGCAGCTGCTGCTGATGTGCTCGTTATGTCGCCTTCTCTGGATGTTGGGTAAGTGCAGCCTATAGGCCCTGTTTTTTTCTCTCTTTGTCTTTTAACTTGTCCCTTCCCTCTTGGCCAGGCCTCCCCTCCTTTGTCAAACACCTGAGTACAGTGGCTGCAGGCTTTTACACGCTCTACCTGTTCTTTGAGCTTCATATGATCTGGGTGGTGCTGCTCAGCCTTCTCTGCTACCTCTTCTTATTTTTGTGCCGACACTCAACTATGAGAGGCACATTTCTCTCCATCACTGTGCTTATTTACCTACTTCTGGGGTAAGATCGCAAAGATAGAACTAGACTGTCAACTTCACAGCTACACATCTAAGGTGTTTCTATTGTTTTCTTTCCTTAGAGAGCTACACATGATGGATGCAACCAATTGGCACAAAATGAGAGGTAGGATAGTACTCAGTTTTGAACATTGAATCTAGACAACAGTTGATCACACCATCTTCACACACAATGAATAATCGTTTTACATTCTTCTCTCTAGGTTCACAGATGGTGGTTGCCATGAAAGCGATTTCTCTTGCCTTTGATTTGGACAGAGGGGTTGTTTCCAGTGTCCCATCACCTATTGAGTTCATGGGGTACATTTACTTTGTAGGCACTATTGTCTTTGGCCCCTGGATCAGCTTCAATAGCTACAAAGAAACTTTAGAAGGCCGTAAGCTGGTAAGTGTATTTCAGTGTTTATTTTAAGAAGATGTCATTTAATTGTCCACAAATTATTAGATTGTTTTCCATTTCTGCTCTTCAGAGTTTATCATGGCTTTTAAAAGTTTGTTTAAGCTGGGTGAAGAGCCAAATTTGCCTTTGCGTTTCCAACTGTGTGGCCCCATATCTCTTTCCATATTTTATCCCTGTTTATGGAGACAAGCTTCTGCGAAGGTAAGAGGCATGCTTGAGGAGACAAATGTGTTTGTAATTTCTTATATGTCAACATCTACAATGTTTTCCTTACAGTAAAAAGAGGAGAAAGATTAGGTAAATATTACACATGCTTGTTTCTTACACATCAATAATCATTTTATTCTATTAATGGAACTCATGTTGAATTGATTTCTTTTCTGCCTGATTTTCAGAGGGGCAGTGACAAAGTAAGTGATTGTTGTACAGGCTGAAAAAATCCTTAGTTTGTTATAAGCATAAATAATGGCTCAGAGGACTTTGTTTCTTATAATTTTTTATTATATTTCTGACTCTTCTTTAGGTGGCTCCTTGCCTATGAGAACACACTATCCTTCCACTTCAGCAACTATTTCGTGGGCTACTTGAGTGAAACTACTGCCACACTCGCAGGGGCAGGTTTTACAGAAGAAAAGGAGAATTTGAAATGGTCAGTAAATACAATCATCACACACACAAAAAAGTATATGAGTTATATTTCTAATCAAAATTTGCCTAAATATCTTTTTTCAATACCAAGGGATCTGGCAGTGTCAAAACCTTTAAATATAGAGTTTCCTCGATCAACAGTAGAAGTGGTTACCTCATGGAATACACCAATGTCCAACTTTCTCCACACCTGTAAGTAACCACTGATTCATATGTGATGGCATTCCACTGATATAACATTGTGATTTTACACTTATTGTCAGTTAATGCTCAACAAAAATACTGTTATAATTCATTCACACACATTTAGATTAGATATAAGGGTACTCACTGTTATTTACTGTTATATATTATTTTATGGCAGATCACAATTGACTCTATTTAGTGTATGTAATATCTTATGTTTTTATCCTACAGTCATAGGTACACTATGTAACTTTTCTGATGGAGGGTACATCACCTGCTTGTCTACATGGAGATGTTATGCTTTGAATAGAATGTTATGCATTAAACTTACGTATTTCAATGGAAATAACCAAGTTACATCACCAGAGCAAGTTACAGATCAGCTCTGCAGAGAGATATTTTTTGGGGAAAATAAAAATGTCTGTAATGAAATGCAAGATAGATACAATTAATCACATACCGTGGATCAATACAACGTAATAACATCATCATGGAGACTGTAGATCTGCTTCCAAAAGTTACACAGTGCACCTTTAAAAATTTGATTTGATTTGACTATTGTAATTCAACATGCTTATTTTTTGATCCACAGATGTGTTTAAAAGCGCTCTTAAATTTGGAACTTTTACTGCCGTCATGATAACATACATTGCCTGTGCATTATTACATGTAAGTACCATTTACTATAATGCAAAATCATTTGTATCCTTGTATATATCAATAACTGATTAAATTTCAGGGTTTAAGTTTTCATCTTGGTGCTGTTCTCATATCTCTGGGTTTTATTACATACATTGAACATGGTGAGTGTGATCTCAGTGTGATTAATTTTATTACAAATGCGATTATAATATGGTTTGGCATGTACTGTAGTATTACGTAAAAGACTTGCAGATGTGCTCAATGCCTGCGTATCATCAAGGAAGTGCCAACCAAACTGCCCACACAAGAACAAAAAGGTAGGTTCTTTTCTCACTATTACATTTTATTAGTGCAGAAGATATTTGATTGTTATGCTGCTTATGCAGTTGCTCAGCAACTGTTCTTAACAAATCATTTGACCATAAAGCAACAGAAAAAATCAAACTTTAGAATTATTTTGTTGTTTCTGCAGAACCTCTGGGTGCATATGATAAACTTAGTTTTCAGCGCATTGGCCATTCTTCACATGACATACCTTGGCTCTGTGTTTAATTCCAGTGTGGACTTCATGGAGGAAGATGAGGTGAGGTTAACATTCATGGAGTGAGCATTATTGGATCCATATTAGTCTTTAAGTAAAACTATTCTTCAGCATTACAGTTGAAACAGTATAAATGGCCCAGTCAGCCAAGAACGTAAACATCTCCACTACAAAGACACATGGGCACAGGTCTTATCTCCCCAAGTTCAGATGGGCGTGATTGACAGGTGGCTTAGCCATGGTCCTTCTGTTACTAAAAAAATCTACTAAAAAGATGGCTGCTCATGCGTATCTTTCCAAGACTAATTTAAGACAAGATAATCTTTTAGTGTTTTAGAGAAATTTCTATTGGGACAAGGGTCCACCACATCCAAAAAAGACAATAGACCCTAGTGTACCCACTTCACAGAGCAGCCTTACACTTGCATTAGTGTGCATATTATAAATAAAGCATTACATTAGGACAAATTAACCATGAAAAATGGCACCTTACTTTAAGCTTTAAATAAATAAATAGGCAGAGATATACTGTGCCTACCCTAAGCTTACATTAGTGCATTAGTTATTGCACATACCCCAAAGGTCTTAACATGTGCAGTAAGCAGTGACACTCCCACAGTTCTACATATGTATAGATATATTACACATTTCCCAAAGGTCTATGTCCCTATAAATAGTCTATATTCCCTAGTGGTCATAAATCAGTGCATACCATTATGATAAGGGGACACTTTTGTAAATAGGTAAGGTCTGTTGTACATTTAGTTCCACTATTTACTGAAATATTAAAATTTTATATTTTGAATAATATTGTGAAAGTTGCTAAAAAATAAATGAAGTTTCAGCTTTTCAGCTAAAGAGAAGTTTTGGCTTTAATCAAGAGTTCCATCAAGTTCAATGAACTAAACAATGAAATCAGTTTGTGCAATAACATCCTACTCCAGTCCTTTCACAATAAAATAATATTTTGTGTGTGAGATATAAATCCCTTGTGTCTGCCCCTATACTATTTTTGTTTTAGGTTCTCTTGAATATCTTAATCAGTACATTGAAGCCTGTAAGTGAAATTTGTTATATTCTTGACTTACAAAATATTGTTCTTACTGCCCCCTTCAGGATGATATCACCCATCACACCATTCAGCGCTGGTCAGGTTTGAGCTGGATGAGCCACTGGTTAACATTTGGAAGCTGGATTTTGTACCGGCTCATTTTGTGAAGGTGAACTGAACACACTGAAATTAAGCAAGCAATAATGCCACAGCTTTTTCTCCATTGTGGCCTAGTGTGAGAGAACATCAGGATACTATTTCATAGAACTTAAGTTGTGGACAATGATTTTGATAAATTAATTACCCACTCCACCCCTTTTTTTTCTTATTACACTCTTTTTTTATTCAAGTCACAGTTGTCAAGCCCTTATGTCATGACAGCAGTAACCAGTGTCTCACTGTGAGTCATAATCAATTCCAATCAGCATGAAGAAGATCAGCTATAGACTCCAGACTGTGGCAGATCATTAAAAATCTTAAATTTATTTTTAACAGGACTTTTTGTTTGAGCATGAGAAAAGTTTACTCTGGAAAGATTAGAGCACAATGAATACAATATTTTATACCATTAAGAGTTATAAGTATGAAGTAGAAGAGAAAAATGTTTTAATATATTGTGACTGAATGGTGTATTTCTAATGTTTTTGTGGATACTTTTATCTCAAACAGTTAAAATAAGAGGGACTAAGAGTGAAGCAATGGCGATTCATACAGTATTTACTTGTTTATATTTAAATCACATGCTGCTTGTATTATACAACATTATTATACACTACTTTAGGCTTAAACACCGAAAATTACATATATTTTAACCACTGGCTTGAAGTTCTGATACAAATGCTGTAATTTTAAATGTTTTATTAGAGGATTAGTCTCCACTACAGAGCCAATATGTCTAAATCTATTTTCAACCCTATTCTGATATATATGTCTTTTCCCTGTAAATGTGAATGCACTGACACACTTGTAATATTTTTATAAAAACTTTCAAACAAACACATTCCTCCTGTTTTTGCCAATGAACACGGGGTTTAATGCAGAAAAACTCTTTTTGCAGTAATAAATAGTTTATTAAATTATTTACATGAGTGCGACTGTCACACAGTCATTTTGCGTGAGTAGGGGAAGGACTGCATCAGAATAACAGACTAATTAATGATGTTAAATCTGGAGTCTGCTTCAAAGCATCAGCCAGTGGGGACAGAGAGGGGACAGAGGACGACAGATGTGATAGATGGAGATCAGGTTACTTCATGCCTCTAAGAGCTGAACAGATGCTGTTGTAGACCTCACAATGGGCCAGTGTACAGGCGAATGGCAGCAGTGCATGTGGGAGGGAGGGTGCATTCAGCCTTGTCGGCCCCGAGGACCTCCATGTTTACGACGGCAGGACCCCAGCAGAGTCTCCAAAGCCATTTTCACAAACGCCTGGAAGTTATTGCTTCTCTCCCTTCGGCTGTCCTGCGAAGGGATGACACACAGACAGATAGCTTCACTGGCAACCACAGCAGCCCTTGCACTTGCTGCCATGAGCTGGTGCAAGACAATTTAAGAATGTTATGTTATCTTTAGTTCATATAAATGTTTACCTCCTTGCTTCTTGCTATCATCTCCTTTCTGATCACCTTTCTTTGGCTGTTCTTTAGGACTCTGAGGTGGCTGTTAACAGAATGATGTTTGGTAAATAGTGACCACAAAATGTAAGCGAATTATTCAGTAAATAAATAATGCCCATACCTTGGTAGTTGACTTCTTGTCCGACTTATTACCTGTCACAAGGTAAAACATTACATCACTGATGGTTTTCTTTTACAGATATTTTAGACAAATTAAACACATGTTTTTTCCTGGATTTACCTTTTGTTCCTGGCATTTTGGCTGTGCTCCAGAGTCTGTGCTCTTTTTTCAAATGCAGTGCTATGTGTGGTGTTCACCTCGGTCATTTATGGCCCATGCTTGTGAATGGGTCTGACACCGGGGCCCCTTCCAGAAAGAGCAACATGAAAAAGCAAAGAGCCCCGTCAGCTGAGCAGCACACCCCACAGCCCGGCAGGTCTTTGCTGAGGCAGGCGAAAGCTCCCAGCTGACCTTGTAATACTGCCATTGTGAACCCACTGTGTGCATACCTATTGTCTCTGACAAGAATGGCATTTCATCATGTTATAGATTTAAAGTGATCAATATGAATTTGTTGTCCGTTTTTTTTTTTTTTTATTATTATTTAAATGAATTATGTTGAATGATCATTTTCATAATTTATTATAGGCTTATTTTCAAGGCACTTAACGCACTTTACATCAAGGAACCACTCACATATTACACACGGGTGCACACCACGAAAGGCGAGGTGGGTTAAGGATTCAACAACAGTATATAGTATCTGTGAGTGCTGTAATCAGCTTTTGGGCCAGTCAGGGGATCTGGTGGTATTATTATTATTATTATTATTATTATTATAGAGTACGAGAGGGCGGTCACTTCCTGGTCATGTGACCTGTCAACAGAAGCAGCGATGGAGAGAAGCTAAGGAAGGTGAGCTACATTCTGTTAAACAATCGAACAGTTTGGTTTTCCTTCATAACAGTTGTCTTCTAAAAATTCAACAAACATGAAACTGAAAAAGCAATGTAATATATTCGAGCGAATTGGTCAATTACTGCAAAGAAATCGCCAGTAGCATTCAAGCTAACATTTATTTGGTAGCTAACTGTTAGCCTAGCTAAAGCTACTACGAAGGGTTGTTTTTTTTTTCCTCTAGCAGCAACATGTCACATAAATAAAACTTAAGGCTTACATCTATAAAGGCGGTAGAAAGAGCCCAGTAAAAAGTGCATTTCATGAATGCGTTAAACAGATTAAACAGGATTCTTAAGATTAGATTAATGTGGTGTCATACATCTGGGTGTGATCCAGTTTATTTGAATTTTGAGGGGGATGGGTTGAAACACATACTAGTGTATTTGTTTAGTGAGAATTATCATGATTTGATTTTTGGTTTGGTTGATTCAAATACACACGTGGTTTAGTCATAAATTGATGAGACATTCCTTTTGTCAGAAATCCCTACTCTTGTGGAATGGCAGCAGTTTGGCAGCAGGTGTTGGCAGTGGATGCAAGGTGAGGCATAGTTTGCAACATAAGTGAATCTGTGTTAATGTGTATTTGACTTACATTTTTTGTTATAATTTTCTCTTTGCAGGTACAATGCATATCGCACACCTACCTTCCCACAGTTTCGAACTCAGTACATCCGCAGACGCAGCCAGCTGCTCAGAGAGAATGCTAAGTGTGGCTATGAGCCCAGTCTGCGCAGACAGTACCTGAGGCTGCGCAGTCAGCTGTTGGCCCTGCGCTACGGGCCCCTGTCTGAGCAGAGCAGCTTTAGGGCCAGCAGTGTGCGCAGCTCCCGCACCACTCTGGATCGCATGGAGGTCAGAGCCAGTCACACAAAACCACAGACGGTGTTGGGGAAATACTTACTTTTATGGTGCATATACCTTTTAAAAACTAAATTGAATTCTTAGGAAAAGCTTTTATATCATCAGCAAGAGGACATTTTGCACACCTCATCGGGTTGAGAAGCACAGGGAAACTACACACACAAAGACCACACATTCAAGCATCATGATCATTTATATATTTTTTCCTGTCAGGACTTTGAAGAAGACCCTCGTGCCCAAGGGGCCCGTGGTCACCGCCGATCTGTCAGTAGAGGCTCATACCAGCTCCAAGCCCAGATGAACCGAGCAGTCTATGATGAGAGGTACAAATAGCAAAGGACTTTGGTAGATTATTTAAATGCAGTACACTCCACGTGGGTGCCTAAAACATAAAATATGGTAAGGTATATTAAACTTTCTTTTCAAAGTTGTTCTTTTGTGTTTTTTGCTTTTTGAAGACCTCCAGGCAGTTTGGTACCCACATCAGTGGCGGAGGCCAGCAGAGCGATGGCAGGGGACACAACTTTGAGTGAAAACTATGCCTTCGCTGGCATGCATCACATATTTGACCAACATGTGGACTCTGCTGGTGAGTGTTTAATCAAGACACTATAATAATGAAATTGCATTGAGATTTAAGGTTTTACTTATATGTTTCAGTTCCTCGTATACAGTTTGCCAATGATGACAAGCACCTCCTTGCTTGCTGCTCACTGGATGGCAGCTTGTCGATTATGACACTGTCTCCGCCTCCTCCCAGTGTCAAGGTGACTCTAAAAGGTCATGGAGGTCCTGTCACAGACTTTGCATGGTCCCTAAGCAATGACATCATTGTTTCCACATCCCTCGATGGCACTCTGCGCATTTGGAACACAGAGGATGGGCGCTGCATTCGAGAGGTCAGAGATCCTGAGTCCAGTGAGCTGCTCTGCTGCACCTTCCAGCCCATGAATAATAACCTCACTGTGGTATGTCAAACATGTCTAACAGCACAGCAGAAGGTTTTAATGGCTTTATCCCTTATACCCATGCCATGCACTGCTGTAAACCACCAAAAGTGTGATTATGTAGTAATAAAATGTCGAGATTGTTATAATTTCTTATGTGCAGTGGTTTAAGAAGATGTGGCAACTGTACACAAATACCCGTATCTGTTATTATGATTACTGATTATTATTATTATATAATTATATAACTAAGGTTATATATATGTGATATGAATCCTTGTTTAAGTAGTTACTTATACATTAAAGCCTCACAGATTGTCGTGCTTTGCAGGTGGGAAACAGCAAGCACCACCTGCAGGTGGTGAACATCTCCACTGGGAAGAAGGTGAAGGGGGGCTCCAGTAAGCTGACAGGCCGCGTGCTGTCGGTCTCCTTTGATGCTCCGGGGAAAATCCTGTGGGCGGGTGATGACAGAGGAAGCATCTTCTCCTTCCTTTTTGACATGGCCACAGGTTGAGTCACACTGTTTTTATTTGGCAGCGGGCACAGTTCACTGCAGCAGAATATAAAAATACTCGTGAATGGAGTGTCTCTGGTGGAGGGGCTGACCAGTGAATGTGTGTGGGCCTGTTTGTGCCTGTCCCCCACAGGGAAGCTGACCAAAGCCAAGCGCCTGGTGGTGAGCGAAGGCAGCTCCATCTGCAGTATCTCTGCTCGCTCTTGGATTAGCCGCGAGGCCAGAGACCCCTCCCTGCTGGTCAACGCCTGTGTCAATAAGCTACTGCTGTACAGGTCAGCCATGAGTGCCTGCTTTTGTAGTTTCTGCTTCCAAGGGTTGTTACATAAGAAAAAAAACACTTTTATGATTATTTTTTGTATAATTTTCTTTATAGGGTAGTGGACAATGAAGGAACACTACAGCTAAAGAGAAGCTTTCCAATTCAACATGGCTCACAGCTTGTTCATAGCATTTTCTGCCCTCTAATGTCTTTTAGACAGGGGGCTTGTGTGGGTAAGAAGTTATTTAAGCCTCATGCTGCAATTTTTGAATTGAAATTTTATCTATGTTGTATTAAAATATGCAGGGCATTCAATTATGCCATTAGGGCGACTCAAGTAAAAAAAAAAAAATATTGTTTTTATTGTTCCAACAAAATTATACTTCTCTCAAGTCTGAGAGAAATCTCTTAGGATTAATATTTTTTTCACCTTTTAGAAAAAAAAAGACTTCAAGCAGGCATTCATTTGCAACCAATGTTTCATCTAGACTTTAATCAAACTCACCTTACTTGACTTTTCTCTGCACTTGTTCCCTGCAGAGATATGCTCTCCATGTGTCAACGTGATTCAGTATGTTATGTCATGTTATACCCGGTAAACATAGCTGCCATGTATAATGAATGTACAGAGACTGAGCGAAGACCAGGAAAATCATGCTGTGGTTGTTTTGACTATTATTTTAATTTTTTATTTGGAGCTGTGTGATACATTAACACATTAGCTTCTGTGGTCAGGATCAGTAGAGGATTATTTGTACATCATTATGCTTTTATAGATTTTGGAATGTCTCTTTTAATCTTTAATTATTAATATTATTGCTTTGCTCAGTTTCAGGCGACATCACAACACTACTGTAGACTTGTACTTCTAATGAGGAGACGGTCATTTCTTAATAGTCATGTATCCAAACCGCTATTAAGGAACAATTAAGCTTGTCACTAAAACTGACTGTTAAAATTTGGAATGCAAACCTGGGTTTTCCTGGCTTTTGTCTTAAAGATACCACTAGTACTGGCTCCTAACCCCATCTGAGAGTAGGTCCTTATGTAAGGAAAGAAAAACAACTTGTTGAGTATTTGGAGTACAAAATTATTTCCTTTTCATCTTTAAATTCCCCTTTGGTTTCTCTACAGTGACTGGCAGCGAGGATGGCTGTGTCTACTTCTTCGATGTGGAGCGCAACACTAAAGCGATCGTGAACAAGTTACAGGGCCATGGGGGACCAGTTCTGGACGTGAGCTTCAACTGTGACGAGAGTTTACTGGCTTCTGCAGATTCCACTGGCATGGTCATCATCTGGAGACGGGAACAGAAGTAACCACACCAATAAAAATATGCTGCTGCTAGGTAACTGTCCAGTTCATTCAGTTCATGATCTAGAAGTTGATGTCATAATTTCAGATGGAGAGCTAAGGTCTTAATCTATGGGCAGTTCATTATTTTTAAAAGAAATATCCTAACAGAAAGGTCACAATTGTTGTACCAAATATTTTAGTGTTATGACAAAATGTCCTTTCAGTTTACAACAATCACACCTTTGTGGCTGAAAACTGCTCAGTTAATTTGTGCTAACAGGAAAGATCGATTTAGGTATCCTGTGGTTAGATCCAGTAACTAGTGAGATATTAACCATAAACCAAATAATGTGTGTTTCAACATTTAAAGGCATTTCTTGCAATAGGACTTACTTTTTAAACTATGGGCTCTTAAAATTGATATGACATCACATGAAAACCAACCTATAGCGAGTCAATTTTCACTGGAATGTTACACGACTGCTTTTAATGTGAAATACCATGATAATTAATGAGTGCAATCAGGTAGCTTTGTGTCTAAGTGGTGGGCGAATTCATTCATTCTTATTGTGAGATCCTATGCATGACATTTGACTGAATTTAACAGACTGAAGAGCTTACAATGGAATATTCTTTAAAAACGTATCTTTCAAACACTAATGCACATTTTGGCTTGGATCTCATCATTATTTATGTAACTGTTATTTATGCGTGATATGAACTGTAGTGATTGCCTTATTTTACTTGTCCTGCTTGCCTGTTCTTGTTAAAACCATGTGCATGACCAACTGAGTCAATGAAGAAACCAGCTGGTCATGAATGATAAAAAGGTTGGTTTAGAGGTTCAACTATATTTCATGTGTGTTTGGTTCATGTTGTTGTTGCAGAATCATAATTTATTTGATGCACATTTAAAATAAACTACTGCAACTGTCTTTGATTTTCTTGTGTCTTATACGTTATGGGTGCATTCACTCACACACCACATCAAAACTGGGAGCTAATTAAACCTTGAACTAAACTACAACAGCAAACAAAGTCTACATCAGGAATAAACAAGACTCAAACCATTACCACGCCAGGACCAAATGTAAACGCACATTTAATACACATAGTTGATTCAAATTTTTGGTGTCAGTGTACTGAAGAGATTTTTTTATGTCTGTGTAAAGATGTAAATTCTAAAAGTAATTAAATTTTTTATGAAATTTTAAGGGAAAGTCAGAAAAAAAAGGGTGAGGGGAGAATTCATTCTTTCAATTTAGGACATCCTGGAAAAGTCATCCTGAAGAGGTACACATCTCAAAAACCCACATATACCTATATATCTATCAAATGTGAATATTTTCATTTTCCTAAAACAAATGCAACTACGTTAGCTACAGAACTCATTGCCCATAGCCTGCCATAGAATAAACCTGTTCTGATGATGAGTTCACACCCAAATTGGAACCACAAAGAATAGGGTAGTCAAAAGTATAAAAATTCTGATACTAATGAATAGTAAAACAAATAACAAATACCAAAAAAATTTGCTAATTTGAGCATGTTTTAATGTGAGTCTAAGGCAACATGGAAACATGAAAAAGGTGCTATTATTTAGTCTTTAAAATTAGCAGAAAGAAATTAGAGAAAGACCATTGTGTTACTGAGTATAGAACCTATTATTTTGTTGAATCGAATTCAAAATTTTTGTGCTGTGTGACAACACACAAAAAAAGGATTAAACCTGGACTACAGCAGAACTGGGCTTCAATCAAGACCAAACCGAAATGTCTCTTGTGGTTAGAACACAAGTGTCACATACAAAGATATTCACACACTGCACTGATATGAATTATATAAATTAAACTGGTAAAATATGTCCTCAAACCAAAAGTAGGTTCCTACACTTCCACAGAAATAATCTGTGGTATGTTACAGTAAAATAGCTGCATATTTTGGGCATAAAAAGTCATACACAGCGCATGGTAAAACTAATGAAACACATTAGCATTCTTTAATGCTATTGTTCAGTGTTGGATGCATAATTATCTTTCATAGATTTCAACATGGCAGAAAGAGGGAATGTACTTTGTGTTTTATTCATGATGCACATAATGGCTCTGTCATTTCACGGAGTAAACAAGAACAATTAAAATGGCTCTGAATGAAGACAATATTGTTGAATCAATTTAATTTGTTAGCAAAATAGCCTTAACCTTGTTCTTTGTTTTCTTTTTCTTTTCTTTTTTTTACTCAGGAGCATAATCAGTATTCAGCATAATGAGAATTGATAAATTTCTTAAGTGCTGTTTACCTTAAACAAACTCAACCTTGTCACTGAAATGTTTGGCAATGAAGGAGCCCCTGGGCCAGTCATGGCTCTTAATGAGACTCCATATGGTTCTCAGCTTCCACCTAAAATGTATTATGTCCTTCCAGTCCCACCAGACAGCACTTGTTTTTCTGTATATATTTCTGTACCCACTATCAAGCCAGATATTATCTAAATACCAAAATAAATATATTTTGGGCCTTTCAGTATGCAGTATTTGCCTGTAAGTATGATATATGCAGGCTTTACAGTTCACTTAACCTCAACTAATACACTTAAAGACGAACAAATAATTTTGGATTGACATAATATCATCTGAATCGTTATTGGGATACTCCCAAAAATATTTATAAAATAATTATTGTCAAGCAAACATACCTATGTAGTAGTAGTAGTCGGTAATTCGAGTCTCAGATATGAAACCATAAATGCATCAAAAGTAGAGTCTTTATTGATGAGTGGGTAAAAGAACCACCTCTGTTAAACTGTACAGATACAGAATATCATCTTGCAAAGTTGCCAGATGTAAAAATGATAGACCCCAGTTCACGTTTCAGTTCACCTGCCCTGTGTCAACATCTGTACAAGTTGTAACCTACAGCTCCTCCTCTATGAAATGCAGTGGAATGCATGCTAATAAAGTAATCTATACCAGTGTCCATAATTAGAAAAATCACTGGACAAGTTACCTATGCCTAATATTGTAAGAATTGTAATTTGGATAGAGAAGTCATTTGAAAATTAAATAGATTTGGGATTTCAGTGATCCATGAAGCAAAACTGGTTTATGTTGCTGGCAAGTTTCAGAGGGCCTAGTAACATTCAAGTTTCCATCTCAATAAGTTCCACTATTGGTATTCTGTTAAGAGCATAGCGTTACGACATTCTCAAAATCATCTTTTTCAAAAAATGTTCAGTTAATTCATATGGTATTCTAAAACACATTTGCATCGTCCCCTAAAATCATTAAATCCTATGTCCTGTTGTTAAGTATTGTTTTCTAATTGTCTCCTTATTTAGTATGCAGTCACTTGCTTATACATTATGGTTAGAAATCGATTCACCAATAGCTTTTTCCATAAGACTGCTCACTTTTGTACGATTTGGAGACCTCATGCTGCTTTCATATTGACTCACTATTATTGAAATCTATCCTATTATCTTTCTCTCCCCTGTCTCCCAGTGTTTCCCCTCACACACACACTTACACACGAATGATATATAAAAACACACAAGCAGGAATATAGATATCCCCGTACAGTCTATACAATATGAAATCAAGTCATATTTCAAAATAGTGTCATCTGCTTAACATGTATAGTTTACAAATAAAGGAAAAACAGGCAATTTTTTATGATACAAAGAAACCTGACACGCCCTAAATCAAGTCCAAAAAATCAAGCATGTCTGAGGCTCGGCTATTAACTTATCCAACATTATTGGGTTCATTCAATCATTTTAGCCTCCTGTGAAGCAGATGAAAAGGCGCACAGGGTGGTCAGCCGATCCACTCTGTTCCTTAAAGTTTTTGACGTTCAGAGTTAGAGAAAGAGATCCTCACTTTCTCTCAAAGTCAAGACAGTTTTCATCATGAAAGATTTTAACTTTCGGTGTCTCTTCTGTGCCTTGTGCGGCACTAATGGATAGTTGGTGGAAAGCTTTAGGGCATGTCCCTCGGAAATAAGGCAACATTATTTGAAATGGCATCTGTCACACTTAACTCTAGTGGTGATTGTGGTTACTTGTACAGTACATCATCAGAAATACAAGCCATTAGTGTTACCAGGAGGTTTCTGTTGCCCTGTCAAAACCTCTGCACCTGAGGGCAACCTTATTCAAACACAACATTCTTGATAAAATGGCACAGTGCCTGCATTTGTTGGCAATTTTTGATTTTGTTGTGCAAAACAACAAAACAGACACTATTACCAAGGTGCATTACATCTCCCCACTTCCAGTAAACCTGAACATTCTCACAGAACCACAGGTGATCACATGATGTCATCACATGATGCAGTAGGCCTCATCCTGGGGCAGGTGTTGTTTAGTCCTCCAGTAGGTGGGCAGGTGCGCTCGCAGCACCTTCCTCAGGTCCTCGTTGAGCAGGAGGCAGAAGATGGGGTTGACCCCGGCTTGGGCAAAGCTCATCCACACTGTGATGGACAGGTACTTGTGAGGGATGGAGCAGGATTTGACAAAGACCCTCCAGAAGCAGGCGATGATGTACGGGGCCCAGAGCACCAGGAAGAGCAGAGTGATGGTGTAGAACATCCTGCCCAGTCTGCGCTCTGACCGCACCTCTTCCATGCCCAGCAGCCGGCGGTGCTGATTGTGAAGGTTCTGCCTGATGCCCAGCAGAGTGGGCGGCATGGGGCCTCGGCCAAACCCTGCGATCCAGTTTGCCGCGGCCTGGCCGGTGGCCCCCGGACCATGGAAGGTCCAGTTCTGACTGATGGCTGGCACCAGCTGAACGGGCTTCATTTTCCGGTGCCTGTACTCGAACAGGAGCAGTTTGGCATAGAAGCCGTGTGTGGCCAGGACCACCACAGCCAGCATGAGCATGAAGCCCAGGGTGTCATTGGTCTTCAGGTAGCGGTGTTCAAAAATGCACTGGTCTTCATCACGGATGAACTTGTATGTTCCCACATCGAAGACAGGTGGGAACGCCATGGCCACTGCCAGAGTCCAAACCATGCAGATAATGGCAGCACAGGTCCAGATGGTCATGCGCTTGGCATAAAACCGGTGGTGGGCAATGGCAAGGTAGCGGGTGACGGCTACACAGAACAGCATGAAGGCAGCATGAAAACAGAACAGCACAGCCATAAAAGCCACAACTTTGCAACTCAAGGCACTGTAAGTCCAGGCCGAGCTGTTGTGAACCGACACAAGCACGAAGGGGAAGCAGGCAGCAGAGCGCACTGCATCGGCCAGGCACAGGTCCAACAGGAAGAAGTACGGGGCCTTGTGAAGTGTCCTGTCCCGGAGCACCAGCAGGGACACCAGGAGGTTACCCACCAGACTGACACAGATTATCAGGCCTAAAAAGACCAGCTTAAAGTAGGCAGACACATCTGTGGCAGAGAGTCCTCCAGTGTTGCTGCTGCTGTCGCTGCTGCTGCTGCCTCCTCGGGCCAGTCCACTCTGAGAGGCCAGCACAGCCAGCAGGCTCCCGGGGCCATCTATGGCAAAGCTCTGGTTAGCCATTCTGTTCCTCCACCAGAGCCTGAGACTGAGGCCCTTCACGAGCTCTAGTGATCCTCCCACAGCCCTTTACAAGCAGAGGCCCGACCGCTCTGTTCTACACGACACAATCATCTCTCCTCTTTGTCCACATCACCTGTGAACACAGAGACACATTATGAAGACAGCTCATGTGGAAAACAAGATGTCTGACATGCTTGTTACATCTTCAACAGTGTGATGAATGGAGGCAACAGTCTAAAGGGTGGATACAGAAGTGCTGTGTTGGGCAACACAGGAAAATCTCTGCTGTCCTGTTCCTCTAAGGCTGGGATCAGATCAGCAGCTCTACAGCATGCCAGCTCCTTGGCTCTCTCAGTAATTACCTTGCCCGTTGCTAAGATACACCAGCTCACATACTTTGTGCGAGTGTGGGTGTTTGAGTGAATGCATGGGGGTGTACAGGGATGGAGCAGACAGTACGACCAACGCTGGCCCTGTCCAACAAACAGGGAGATTGTAATTGATAAAAGAACATTTGATGGTTCTCCTGCTCTGTCTTTGGCTGTGCACTGACTGCTACTGAGCAGATGTTATGTGAAATCTTATAACAAATGTGAGAATGTAATGGCAGGGCAGGCAGCCATTTAGATGTGACTCTAGGCCTGACAACGACAGGGCTGGAGAGAGGGATTGGACTGAAGGAGGAAAAAGGAGCATTTTAAAGAGAGTGCTACTGGCACGCATCCTCACATCACCTCGTTTATATAAGAAATGGAGAGATATAATTGTATTTATCTTCTAAAACTGAATTGATGCAGCCTCACCCAAACCTCATTCTCTGGCACTAGGCAATAATAATAATAGAGGAGCAGAGAGCTACTCGTCAGGGTGGGCCTGGCCTCTATGTAGGCCACGAAACAGAATCATTAGATTTTACTGAGCTTTTTGTTCCATACAGCCCTGTGGCACCTTGACAAACATCATTCCAGATTAGAAGGCTGCTGTGTCAGCTAGGCCTATAACACCGAGTGAAGGCAAAAACAGACGAACAGGTGTCAAAATCTCTTTGTCGTGTTTTTGTGGCTATGAGAGGCGATTGACCGGCGGAGATGGGGATAACATACCTCACATTTATGGAGCTCTTCTTGATCTTCTACCTCCGTCAAAAAACACCCAAGCGCTCCTCTTCGCTTTGTGTCACTGTTCTTTACGCGGAAATCAAAACACATAATAAAGCCGTATGCCGTGGCCGTGCTCTTAAACAACACCTGTTATGCATAAACCCACGGCGAGAGAGCAACATATCATCAGCATAATAGGTTACATGCGATGTGATCATCAACAGCTGATCAAACAGAGGATGGGGATGCTGTCGTGAAGACACATTAAGATACAGAGGGGAAAAATCCACCGCCACCCTTTTGCTGTTTTACAGGGATGTGTTCATTTGGTCCAGAAAACAGGTTTTTGTTGCATCACGTCGACAAACCCTCTCCATTTAAGATCAAGATCACAAAATCTCGTTTTCTTCATGTATTCCAAATGATGTCCGATTTTCAGCTCTTATTATAACCCACCCACAAATGTTAGAGAGGAAAAAAACATCGCGCGTCCCCTAAATGAATCGTCTTGCCGTGGATATTGGCTTGTGGCATCTGAACAATTAGTCCACATAGACAGCCTCGATACAATTCCTTTTCTCATGTTTCAGTCCAAAAAGGTAGCGGCTTTAACTACATCTCCTAATATGCAGTCTTTGTTTTGCTGTCCAACGAAGGTGGACTATATCTTAATAGTCCACGATAAAAGGGGGACATTTTGGACAGATCCAGCGATGTCACGAGAGGCATTTACATCGCAGACGCCGCCGAAATGCAAAATGAATACGCGTAAATGTAGCCAAAGAATAAGAAGACGGAAAACAAGGCAGATGGGTTAGGCGAATTATTCCTGAATAATCCCAATTATGGCTGCTTGCAAGGAGGCAGCTCGAGCGCTGATTCGGAAGCGCTCGGTTTTTCCCGGAGAGCGCACGGAGAAGGATGCAGGGAGGAGGGGGAGAGGCGACGGTGCAGCGAGCCGGACATAACTTCAAAGTGCTGTTTTATGCCAGCTGCTCGCTCTCATGCATGGTACTGAGTTTTATTCAACACACGGGCCCTAAAGGACGTACCTTAGTGACACTGGTCTAACTGAACTGTAGTTATAAACGACACAAGCAACACACATCAATAACAGGGCTCACTCCTAATTTCCCAGAATGAAGTAGCATCCTCCTAAATGATCAACATTCTTCATCCATTAGCTCTAACATGGTGGGTGCTAATGCTTTCATTAAATAGGCCTATATTTGGCTTGGATTTCTTGATTAAGGAGACATAAGACTTGACTTCCAGTGAAAGGTAATTGTTGGGACCATCTTAATATGAGAATGAGTCAACTAAAACAACAGACAATAGCATATTCAATTCGGGAGATTTTATGCTGTATTGGTGTCATAACCTAGTTTAGCCTATAAAATAACATACAATCAAGTGAAGGGTCAGTGTGTGACAGATTATAATTCTTTTGTTAGAGGAATATCACTAATCTTGAGTCATCTTCTGTATTTATAAACTTGAAGTACACATCACTTTAAATAACAGCTCTTGAAGATATATGTTGATTAGTAACATCTGATAAATTCCTCATGATCCAAATAACCTTTGGTGTCTGTCATGTTTAAATACATACATTTCGGTCACTGTAATAATTGTAATAACAGCCATTACTATATCTAATATTGTGCATAAAGTCTCATCTGAATGTTGCTGAAGGATTCCCTCCTTAAAACAGAGCTAGTTCCAATGTAGAATATAGCCACGGTCTTAAACCTTGACATGAGCAGAGTGCAATGTGTGACCTTTAGCTTATATTTGCACCTCCTGTTACACATGAACTTTTCCATCAGCTGAGCTCAGAGCTACTTTAGGTTTTCCAGTTTGTGATTGTGCAGAGTAGTTTATATAGGAAAGAAAGACACAAAAAGCATTCTTTGTATTAACCCACATTATTCATTCATCACTTCATACAGTTCTCACTCAGACAAAGTGAAAACAGAATTAGTTTAACCTGTTGCTGCTTTGTGGGAGGTGTCCATAGGAAGACTTCACAAAGGTAGATTAGTACAGAGAAATGGCTGGCTGTGTACACATTTTAAGTAACAATAAGGCATTTCATGCCCTTGATTCTTTTTTGTAAACAAAATACTGTTTCTGTATATTATCAGTGTGAAGTGTGTAGATACAGAGACATGGAATACACAACAATGGCAACAACAGGATTGTTCTACAGTACAAAACACTGTACACATTACAGTAAAACAAAACAAACCATCTAAATCACTGCTAGCTGTTGTGCTCTGACATAAGTGTGATCACTGCAACAAAGGAAAGAGCAGTGCAATGAGCTACGATTTATAGCAACAACAACCTATACAGTTTTTTTTAGACTGCACTTGTTTTTTTTAATAAACACATCTTTTAAAATATATTTTATGGGTTTATCCTGGAATCATGACAAGGCACTTTCATGGAGGAATATGTGATCAACTCACACAAAATGCAAAATCAGAAAGAGTCCAATGACAAACAAGGCGATGGGCTCCTGTAACACAACCAACATGGAGACAAAAGCGCTCACACAGATGATTGATGGCCTCAGACTCCTGTGAACGTCACGCTCATATGATGGAGCCAGAAGATTGTCTGAGAGCAGATCAGAGGCTGTTCTACAGGCCATGGCGGTTTCAGAGCCAGGGCATAGCTCAGTGACGTCCACACAGTCAGAGTCCTGCCGCTTAAAGAGCGCTCCACTTTCACCTCCTGAGGTTTGACTCTGAGCTTCGGCCTGTGAAGAGGAGTGGCTGCTACAGTGGAGGTGCTCTTCTCCACACAGATCTGAGGCTAGAGCAGCAGAGAGGACAGGAGCAGGCCTGTCCCATGTCACTAACACACATGGACCAGGTCCCTCCTCTTCAGGCTGGGACCACTCTGAACTCTGTATGGACTCAGAGGACTCGTGGACTTGTGGTACAGGGGGGCAGGTGGTGGGTGGGCTGATTTCTGGCTGCTTAGAGTCATTTGGTGGGAATACTTTACTGGCCTGGCGGACATTGGGTAAACATGTCTGATGGAGGATAGAAGAGGAAGCACACAGTGATTGTGCAGTTTCACAGTGAGTGGATTGTGCCCCATCAACAGATAGAAGTTTTCCATCGGGTGGGACAGTGGGAGATGGGTAAAGAGCAATCTGGTTAAGTAAAAGGACAGTGACAGCCACAGAGCATGAAGGCAAAAGAAGACATTAACAGTGTGCACACAAAAAGAGAAAAGCATTTGGCAATGAACGAATTATGCTTTTCTACAAAATGGATCCCATGCTGACATCTCAAAACAGAAATATGCAAATGAGAACAGAAACAGAATGAAAATTACTGGGTGATTTGTAAAATTGTTTTCAAACCGTTCGAAACTTTCAAAGCCACAACAGCTAATTAGCACAATAACTAGACTGAGGTCTTACAAATGCACTGGAACTAACCATTATTTCAGCAAATTAAATATTTTTGTAAAAAATGATAATCAGATAACTTTATTCATCCAAAGTCATTATTTCTATTGGTTATTGAGATTTAAAAAAATACATTTTCAATCAGATAAAAGTGGATTATGCTGATTGAACACATTCTCAGATGGAGAATAAATACAAATAAAATGGATATTCATTAAAATAACAGTTGAATTATTTTTAACATTTTGATTTAGAACTGCTGTTGCTGTCTTTATATAAATTATATATAAAATGCTTCTCAGAGTGTATACTACAAATAACAATTATTAAAATGGACAAGTGTTTTAGCAGTCAATTAGTCATAATTATTATTCCAATTAATCTTTGAATCTCTAATGAATTACATTACATACTTTCTACTCTCTGTTAGTTTCTTTATGACATGACATTGGTTAGACTGCATACTGACAGTGACATAGATGTGCATGTGGCTATTAATAAAGAAAAACTCAAGCGTTCATAGGTGTGAGGTGAACAGAGGATAAGAAGGTTACATGTGCTGAAAATGACTTACACAATGCATTGTAGAGTGCTATGGTGCTAGACATTACCTAAGTTGTTGCTGAAGCTTCAATGAGCTGTGAACAAAACAAGCTTTTAACAGTGAAAAGTTAAGCTTTATTAGACACACAACCTGCAGATGGAAGAGAGAATTTAGCTTGGTTTCATCTGTATAATGGGGATGTAAACATGCAGCTTATTGTTTACTTAAAGGTCCTATATTACACAAAACTGACTCTTGTGAGTTTTAAGCCATGTTATAATTTTGTTACCTCAACAAAAACATACCTGGAGTTGTGTTTAGTTTCATTTGCACATGCTTCAGTAACCCTTTATTATGAGTTTGTCTACATCGCCAAAGCTCAAAATGCTCTGTTCCACCTTGTGATGTCATGTAGTGCTAGTTTTTAAGTTAAGAGCTACCTTGTACCTTTGATTCAGCTGACATGGGCAGTTCCAGGGTTGAAATCATCCAAATGATTCTAGTGAAGGTGTATGGATTTTAAAAACACAGTGGTGGAGTCTTTTTCATTTAAGAGAAGAACACAGTCTAAAAATGCAGGTGTGTTAAACATATGTGAATGAAACAATACTCCAGGTATGTTTTGATGAAGAAACAACATTATTAACATAGATCAGAAAACATTGTAATATAGGCCCTTCAATATAAAACCTCTTTAAGTTAAAATTATTAAGACATTTTTATAATTTCTAAAGCAAATTGTTGGTCTTTACCTCTACATCAAGGTCTGGCTGGAAGATTACAGGACAAATGGCTGCAGGTCGAACAAAACCAGATCTAGTGGAATCCTCTTCTTCTCCTGAAAGTATGCATTTGCGTATTGTATTTATACCATGATTAGATTTAATGTTATATGTAGTGCTGTACATTTTAATGCAAAATACACATAAGCTCAAACATTTGCAAATACTTAACCTTCTATCTTGTTTGGCTCATCCTCCATTTCGAAATTTATCTCTGTCCTGAAAGAAAGTAAAAAATTTAAATAGATTTTTAAAACAAAATACATCAAAGGAAGAATCAGCATGTCCCACAGGTTCATACCAATATTGATGGCTCAGGCAATCCTTAATAATTGTATTTCATAGATTTTATTAATATGCCAGTTATTTTTTAATTCATTATTGATTAAAGATGACATTAAGTTGCTTCTATATATTTATGATGCTACAACAAGCAAGTACAATTTTAATATCAATGCATTTTAGACTATAGGGGCAAAATGTAAACTATAAGGGGCACCATAGTCTCTTCTCTTAATGGGAAATACTGAAAAACAGTAAGTGCCATATTTAGGACCATATTTTTTGACCACTTAAGTTGAAAATTAAGATTTACATTTGGTAATTGAATCTGACCAAGACGTTTTAATGCCGATAATAAAGTGTCCTCTTGTAATATAAATTAATTTTGAGAATAAACATTAATTTTAATAGACACATATACACACAGATGCATAGTCTGTAGTTTAAGATGCAATAACCCAGTGTTTACCCATTTTCCTTCCACAATACGGTTTCAGTTGAATTATAAGTGTATGCTTTATTTGAATGTGTCTAAAGGCTAACATGTCTATCCAGTCTGTGATAAAGGTCAGAGGTAGATTTTACTGCAGGGAAATGCCACCGCTGAAAATGACACCTGCCCTTTCCATGTTTTGATCAGACTCACACAGGCAGATGATTGGCACTCTAAAAGGGGCACCCTCCAAAACTGTCTCCTGTCTAACATATCAAAGATCATCCACAGTCATAAGTCATAAACAACATTAAACATTACTGCCCATAACCCATGTTCTTTCGTCACACAACAGGTGTTGACTTTTTTTCCCCTCTCCTTCATTTGTGACTTGGGTAGTTGCAGCACTGAAAGCAGTCTCCAGGCAAAAGCTCAAACTAAGCTGAATACCCATAAGACAGAAGCTTTTGTGATCAGATCCTGAATAAACATGGCCTAAAGCTCATACAGTATGCAATACAAACTTAAGACTAAGACACTTTGGGTTTCAGACAAGACATAAACTCATAAATGGGATTTATACCTGTACATTTTTGGTGGCTTCAGGATACTTCTTACATCTCTCATGTCAATCTCTTTTTCAGAGGATTTGTTTTCATAGGACAAGAGAAGTGTCACCACATAGTTCATCTTGGAGTTATTGGCCCAGTAGTCTCCCTCAGAGGTTTCGTAACGAACCACAAATTCCATGCGAGATCCATGTGTGGTGTAGGGTGATGCAAAACACAATTTAAAGCAGAACTTATCAGTGTCTCCATCATTAGAGCCCTGTACATACTCTGCAGGGTGGTCATAGTAGGAGGCCCAGTGATCCATGGTGCACCTGATGTACACTGCTTTGTTGAAGGAAATATTAAAAACTCTGATTTCTCCACAAAAGGCAAGGGGGTCATTTTCTACTGGTGAGATGTTCTCTACCTCCACTTTGTTAGTGCGCACTGCCTGTAGTAAGTCATTACCACTGAGAACACTGAACTCTGGGTGCACATGATACACTGGAACTTGTTGTGATTGTCTGTACTTTGCCTCCTCTTCCTCCCATTTAGCACTGTCCTCGTCATCTGAGTCAAAAGCCGTAAATTCTTTCACATCTACAAGGTCACCGCCTGTGGTGTCTGCAAAGGATACTCTTTTCCCTCCAGACAGGGCCAGTTGGATGCGCATGTACTCCGCTGTTTCGTCTGCGATGGACGAGCCTCTCCTGCGGGGAATCGGGGAGCACCGCGGGATGAGGCGCACGTCGGTGTCATCTTCATCATCTTCGTCATCTTCATCTGCGTCCACTGTGCGGAATCTCTCTGGTCCATCTGAGGATCTCCCACCTTTAATGGTGGTAAATAGATTTTCCTGACTTGGTATGGTTAAAAAAGACATTTCAGTGGCAGCTTACACGTTCTATGGCGTCTTCAAAAATCCGACCTAGCAAGCGTTACGCACAGCCTTTACGCGTAATGGGCTTGATTGTCCTTGACAAAATGTGAGCCTGTGGGTGTATCCCCCAATTCAGATTAGTTTGTACCCCGCAAATTGGCTTCAGTGGTGAAACGAGCAGCCTAATTTTAGCACTGACCTACCAGACTCCTGTCCCACATTTGTCTTTGGTATAATCCTGTGACTCCCCCGTGTTCGGTTTGGTTCGGGCTGGAAACAACTCTGGGGTCAGGCACATACCTATCTGGAAATGAGTAGCACGGTAGCACACAACAGCCTCCCATGAGACCTAATAATTTAAACCTTTTATTTTAGACGGGCAAGCAGCCACATTAAGTAGTTTTGTTATAAAATACTCACGTGGCTTCTGTAATTTTTGAACTTGCTAATCGTTCTAGTAGCCTACAACCTACACAGCATTTGACCACAGTATCAATAGGTAGGCCTATCGTTCTCTCTCTCTGTCTCAAATGATTGATTGATGTAGTCCTATATAGGCATACCGTTATCATATATTAAAAAATGATAAACTATAGCCATACTTATTTCAATTGTTGTTATACCACATGCGACTAACAGTTATTTATTATCTGCTCTAGGCTATTTTAGGATTAGATCCTAATCTCGCGTCAACGCACTAGGAGCAGAGCGCGCAGTAAACACTGAGTCGCAGTGGATTGGTCATAAGGTTTTTAGCGCGTCGCGTTTAGCCAATCGGAGGATTGTTTTTCTTTCATTCCGTTTCACGAACAGTGAGCTACTATAGCTAATACATTATAGCTATACACAGTGTTGATATCTCAGGGCTACAAAGCAGTGAAAGGTTTAAACCACACGTCTGTTTATGGACATTTTTGAGAGCAGTTATGACTGGGTGCGACTTCAGAGACACACGCTCGCTTTGGGAGACGTAAGCTATTTTAGCATTAGGGTTTAGCATTGGGTTGCTAGTCTTTGACATTACGCAGGGCCGCGGAGAAATGCAAGCTCTTCCTGGTTAACCTATTGTAAGAGTTTTGTTTACGTAAAGTAATATTTGGAGTGGTTTTGCTGGTTTGAGACTGCAAACAAGCAATTTGCGTTACTTTGAGTAGAAAAGCTTGCAAGCTACATAGCTTGTTAGCTGAGTCGTTAGCATGAGTGAAGTGACCGACTGCAAAGCGTCTGCTGACTCTGCCTCAAGGAAACGCTGTCCATCACCGAAGCGAGATGAGGGTGACCCTGTGCCAAACAAGACCCGTAAAGTAAGCGACGAATTGGCCGAGACGAAGGTAACCACGGAAAATGGCAAAAACATTGAGTCGGACTGTAAAGATGCGGAAGGAAGTGTGTCTAGTGAGAGAGAGGTTGTAGAGAGTGGTTCTGAGAGTGCAGATGCCACTAGTTCACAGACAGTTCCTAATGTCAATGCAGATGGGCAGGATGTCAAAAACTGTGATAAACCAGAGAGCTCAGGTGCACAGGAAGAGCGAGAACAAGAGAAGCCTCCAACTCCTCTGCATCAGCTCGAGTCTGCAGCCATAGCCGCTGCAGAGGCACTGGCCAGTCTCACAGGGAGAGACGGGGAGGAGAGCCAGGAGGCAACATGCTCCTCTGAAAAAGACAAACATGGGAAACAGTTAAACAAGTCTAAACTGCGTGTGAACACCAAAACCCAGGCAGCAGCAGCAGACAGCTCCACATCCATGCACAGCAGCGGCAAAGAGGATGAGGAGGATGAAGGAGAGGCTGAGGAGGAGGAGGAGGAGGAATCCGTGCCCGGGTCTTCCTCCACTCAGAGCTCATCTTTTGCTTCTGAAAATGAAGAGAACGATGATGGAGAGTGCGCCATAGTGTCAGTGAAGATGGCTCCAGAGATGAGGCAGTCGGTGACTCTTTTGGCTCAGGTTCAAATGAAGTTGGAGGCTTTAGAGAAGAAGAGCGCTAAACTTCATCAGCGCTTAGATATCAAGATAAATCGCCTTAGACGCCCACATCTAGACCAGCGCAGCTCTATTGCCAAAACCATCCCTGGCTTTTGGGTCACGGCTGTATCCTTTCACTCTCATAAGATCCTAATTTAAAGAAGACGTACTGTACGTTTTCTGGTAGTTAGTGTTAAACTACAACATAAGCAGATCACAATTTTTGTTCTTTGTTAAATGCAGTGTTTTGTTTTGTTTTCTTTGACTGATGTGTCAGTTATTGAATCACCCGCATTTATCTGCTCACATTGATGAAACTGATGAAGATGCTTTGAGCTACATGACTGACTTAGAGGTAAGGGTTCTTCATATATAAGTGTTATTTAAAAGTGCAATATGTAATTAAAATTATATTGCTTAACATACATGCACTCTTGTGCTGAGTGGGCTTGCCTGTCCAGCGCTTTTTGCTGATCTGTAACTTGCTGTGATAATGTTCTGTGAAACGCATCTGTCTCCATGGAGACAAATGCGTTTAATGTCAAATGTATTGTAGAACATTTCAGAGAACCCAATAGTATCTCCATAGGGACAAGCTGGTATCTTTCACCATAAAGTTGTACAGTGCTCCTTTTACCAGACAATCTATTAATTTTATGTTTATCTTTTCAAGATTGAAACATTCAAAAATAACAAGTTGGGATATAGGATTCGATTTCACTTCAGGAGAAATCCATATTTCCAGAACAATATAATCATGAAGGAGCTTCACCTTGGAATGGGAGGTAAAATATATCACTGTAGCTTTAAACATTTGTAAAGCTACACACAGCTTTTAATGTGCCAAATATAGCATTAATTACACCCTTGTATGATTCAGGATCTCCCATGTCGTACTCTAACCCCATTCTGTGGCATCGCGGGCATAACCTGACTACCCACAGCGAGCCCAAGAAAACTGGACGTGGAGTCTACCAGACGTTTTTTAACTGGTTTAGTGACCACGGCAACCCAGCACAAGATGATGTAGCACAGGTTAGACAAACCCTATCTGGTTTTGAAAAGCTCATTCAATTTAAATATTTATAATATTGTGTTTTTAGATTCTGAAGGATGACTTGTTCAGAGACCCACTCAGATACTACCTCACACCGCTGTGGGAGCCCAGGGAAAATGGAAGGTATGACAAATGTTTAATCAATGTTTGCTCACAACACCATACATCTAAGAATAGTAGATTTACTTAGTTTAGATTTATTGGACATTTAGACATTGACAGTTTCCTGGTAGTTTTTTCTATAAATTGGACCACTTTGAATTCATACCACAAGTTTTATTAAAGTCATTGTGTTCGACTCCCTGGAGCCCAGTTCAAGGGTACTCTTAACTTGATGCCTTTTTCTAAAGATTTCATCACTTTTCATAATGAACAACTGCTGCAGAGTAAAGACAAACTTGTGTGTCACTGACTAATGCTAATTAGGCAAAACTGCTAAATATTGTATAGTACATTGATTTTGATATTTTACTTTATTTTACAAGCAGTCGGTTTTATGCATTTAATTTATGTATCAGTGTGAGTCAGGGATACTGGTGGTATGACAATAATCGTTCAGAGTACAGTTATTGTCAATGGGATAAATAGGAGTAAATGGTGAATATTTGTTGTGCAGTAGTGCCAGTGGGACCAGAGCCGCCGGCAACGGAAAGGATGATGGAGATGAGTGTGTGGTGATCTCCGACTCTGACGATGAGGCTGGAGCAGAGGGCAGTGAGGCAGAAGGAGACCAGAGCAGCCAAGGAGAGGACAGAGAGGAGGAAGAGGAAGGGGAGGAGGAAGAAGAGGAGGAAGGAGAGGAGGAGGAGCATGAGGAACAGGATGAAGGCATGAACCCAGGCGCAGGTATGAAACACTTCCAAGGGTAAACCTTATTTCTGCTCATGCTCTTCATAAACCAAACTGTATGAGCTGTAGTTTTTACTTTCTATATTTTGCATATGTAAAATATTCAAATGGAGTTATGTTTTTTAATAAAATCTATGGTTGAGAAATTGTGTGATCAGAACAATTTTTAAGGCATTACCCAAGAGTTTAGACCTTTAGTCATATTTATTTGTGCACAAAATAAAATGACTTGACTAAACCAAAGAATGTCTTCCATAGATGAGAGTCCAGCAGAGGAGGAGGATGAAGCTGGGGAAATAGTAATTGATGGTAAGACCTGACAAAAATACACATTCAAATGAATACTGGTGTGTAACACTATTTTTAAATGTCATTTGTGTCACTCTCAGGCTCTGATGAGACGGACCAGGAAGATTCTTAAATGGATAACCTTTAATGTGATGAAGAGGCATCACTGAGGGACCAGAAGAATTATGTAAGGAAATAATATGCACAAAAATATTTTTTTCTACCTTGAAATCTACATTTAAAATCAGGTTTGCAAATAAGCCAAGCCACGGTGTTGTGTTTCCCCTGTATTTTGTACTTAACATTTTGATAAATAATTTTATTATAATGAGACAAAATTCACATTATATAGACAGTTTATTGTTTCACATGTTTGGCAGGTACAAAGTTAAACCTGTACTCTCACAACTTGTCTGTCTCCTCAATCAGAAGATTTTAATCAAGCCAACATACTCTTATTTAAGCTTGACAGACTGTTGCTGTCATAAATTAAAGTGTACTGAGTACCAACCAAATTAGTTCTCAGGGATAATAATGTTTGAGTGTCACTGAGCTATTTAGAGACTTGTTTTTTCTGTATTTTACAATGTGTACTCTACTGTTGTAAACAAACACGAACTTGCTTTTGTCATGCAACACTTTCTTTTAAAACCTCACCTTGGTTATTTCAAACAGATCATGCTGTTAAATTATCTGTTCACCTATGTGTTTTTCCTTATGTGTAATTTACATTGGTTGCTTTACGTTTGTCTGTATTTTATATTTTTTTTTAATTTTTGGTGTGTATAGACATAATGTATTTTTGTGAATAGACCTGTTTAATTTTCCATGCAGTGTGCCATGGAAAGTAAAATAATTCACTGTGCACAAATTTACCAATGTACATTTCAAATACAGGAGTGCACTGTATTTTACTAAATTAATTGTATTTACTTATCAGTGACTGGTAAATTCGGTTTTACATTTTCAGGGAAAGACACCAGGGCTGGGCAATATGAGCATAAATGTATATCATGGTGTAAACAGGAATATTTACAATAATAATAACAATAACTAATAATTGTTGGTATAACTGACAAAATACTGGCTTGTTTCTGGATAGCCAAGGGTTTTAGAAATGATGAAAATGTAGGACAGTTGCTATAGCAATTAGCAATTTAAAACAAAATATATATGGGAAAATAACCTAAAAAGGTTGCATATAACAAGAAGCTGAAATCCATGAATAGTTATTACGAGTTCTTCCACTCCTTTCCTTTTTCTTTCATTATTGGTTTGACTGCAGAACATGTGCAGTTACTCTGCAGTTTACCACATTTTATACTGCCCCAAATTCAAGCAACACATCATGAGCCATATGATATTGCCCAGCCCTATAAGACATTGCTAATCCTTTTAACAGTCTTTTTTCATGAACCTGATTTAGAAAGACTATTTTGTGTGATGTGTTTTATAGAAAACTGTAGTGAAGAACATTTTGTTGCTTTGATATATTTTTAAGATACATGTTTCACCTTTCCACTGATACTTAATAAAACGGCCAGTTGTTTGATTTGATTGGTGAGCGTTATGATTTTTCCTATTTGCAGAACCAGAACAGGAGACCCTATGAAATAATGTAATTTTTTTTCTCTTTTAAGATTTAAAAACCACATAGACTGGCTTTCATTTTATTAGTACAACTTAAGATGAGCTTAAAAGTTCAATAAATAACTTTTGGGATGAATCATCCATCCCCTTTTCTCCATGTTATGCCTCTCCTTGCATTATTACAAGTTATTGGTCAGATTTGTGGAAAGGTAAAGTTTATAACACTTTTATTTCTACTTAATTGAATAAATGTTTGTTTAATGCCGAATAGTGGAACATCCAAGAAAAGCAACAACATCTCTCCATAGAGACAAGCAAGTGGTACACTCCCCACTAGAGAAGATACATAGCGCACGTGCATTAGTTTATTTCCATTTACTTGCCAAGTTTGGTTTGGCCAGAAGATGGCAGTCCTGCTCGTGTTATGTGCTCCCCGTGTTCTACACGAGCCTTGTCTTCAGTTGTAATCTCTTTTGTGTGAACTTGAAACAAAACACATTAGCTCCTGTTTAGACTTTAGGTTAAATCTTTGCATGAACTTGTGACTTGTTGACAAAAGATTAGATCAGCTCCACTTGAGGCATTGGCAGTGTAAAAAACATTGGAGAGATACAGCTGTTCCTTAATGGCTGCGCTCTTTGATATGACAGAGGGGTGTGATAATACTGACATTTGGGATGTAGCAGCAGTAAACCGCCCGGGGTACGACATTTTTGGACAGGCCCGAACAAAGGAACAGCGGCAGTGTTGCAACAGTACACTTAAACCTTTGATTCCACTTTTAATGCATAGCTATAAATATTCCGCGGGCAAAAACCTGCTGCTGTAGACCGCTGCAGCGCCCCGGGCATGCGGGCAGGCGAGGATGGACATATACTATTAATACTGATGACGGAAGCATGTTCTTCTGTAGCTTACAAAGGATCCCGTGTGCTACATGCTGTTGTGTCAGATTTAAGCCGTTTACCACATGAGATCTGGGACTGTTTGTCGACTAAGTAATGCGTTTATATAGAGCTTTTTTAGACATTCAAACTTTACAATGCATTATTCATTCACCCCACACGATAGTGAGCTGGTAGCCATGCCTGCCCTGGGTTAGACTAATGTACGAGTGGCGGCCAATCTGCATCATTGGCCCCTCCGTCCACCACCAACACATACACATACCAAATTCATATTAGGCAATGTGGATGGATGAAGTGCCTTGCCTAAGTACACAACAACAGTTTGCACTAGAACCACTGCTTCCCCACTGTGGCACCTGGTCTCCCATCCAAGGGCTAGCCAGGTTCAGCCTTAGTTTCCAAGAACAGATGAGGTTGGGCACTGGCAGCAGGTACAGCCTAAAAATATGACATGCATCAATTAATCAACCAAAAGGATTAATCCAAAAGTTTGAATAGGATCTTGTGCAAAAACTACTCTGAACAACAAACAGCAAACAGTGAAAAGGCAGATTAAGGGTGCATTTATACTTGCACGTTCACATAAAAATTGAGATTAACCTGGGACTCAACCTGGACTAGACCAGGATTAACCTAAGACTTAACTATGCTTCAACTGGGACCAAAACACTTTGAAACTACACCACAGCTAACTCACTCCATGCACTCTCATTTCTGCTGTTGTTTATACAAATCCTTATAATTCTTATGAAATAACTAGTCAACAAATAAAGATTTTGGTCAACTATAAAACATCACGGACCATTTAATCGACTATAGGACTACATCCCTAATGTGAACACCTCAAAATAAATTAGTAATTGACTACATTCGTACAATATTGATAAGGACAAATCAAGTACAGATTGCAGGGACAACAAAGCTCTCACAAGGATGTTTTATGCACGCTGAGTTCTCTGTGAAGCCTTTGTTATGCGTGGAGTGGCAAAGGCCTAAATGGATTCCCCTGTGTAAACTCCACTCCCTTTAAATGAGCTTGAGTTGCTACTGTACACAAATCATCTTGTCATGCTGCATTCTGCTCTCACATTTCACAAAGAAGTCTTTGCAATCTTAGAATCACTAATATTGTTTAACGTAAAATATGCAGAAATATAATCGAGAACCTCATTCCTCATCTTGTCAAAAGCAGTATTTGCTCCAGTGGGTTAACAGAAAAGACTATGTTATGAACTACCTTTTAATGCCCATGTCTGCATACTTGTTGCTTCATGCATGTTTGGAAATAATCATATTAATGCCTCACATTTGTTTTGTGAGCTTTTGAAGTTTGACAAGCCTCTCAAAGCATCATTAGCGCCATTATTCATTTGCTCTCAACACTGGGGGCACAGTAGGATTCTTAAAAAAAAAAAAAAAAAAGATGCTAAAATACTAATGATGACTAATTCAAATGAAACTAGTTATTCATTTGAGCAAACACAAATTGAACAAAACCTGGACCTTTCCTGAATTATTTTAGTATCAATATCAGAACTAGTATGAGGCCACAAGGTCATTCTTAAGAAACTATTTATAATTTGCATTTAAAAATACTTTTTTTTTTTTTTTTTTTAAAGAAGTGTGTTTTTAATGTTGAGGTATCAGTCCTTTTCCTTCATAGAGAAATTTGAGTGCTGCACCTCAAACTATCACAAATTTCTCACTTACATTCTTCTTTCAAACAAGGTGGGTGAAATGTATTGCCCAATGACACAACTGCACCATAGACTGGTCAGAGCGGAGAATGCACTGCCAACTTTTGGGCTGATGCTCTAGTACTCATACCACAGAGCACTGCCACCCATAAAGAGAAGAAAGAAAATCTGTGTATGTTTATGTATTTAAAGGTGCAGAGCACAACAATTCTAATAGAAGGTCTGCCACCTGCTTATCTCCATGAAAATATTATTGCTTTGTCTAGAATATTCCACAGTATTTATGAAACCTACTTATCAAGAGAGAGAGTGAGAGAGAGAAGCAGGTCACAGCACTAAGCTACATTACAACTCAGATCTGTGGAGAGTCACCCCAGTTCACAGAAGGATTTATTGCATTTTGTGCAATAGAAACTCCCATAATGAATAAATGCTAGATGTACAAGTTTAATATCATACCATGAAATTTCATGGAAAAGGAATAACATCTCCATGGAGACAAGTATCTAGGAGACCCTCTACCAGAAAAGTTGAGCAGTGCACCTTATCCATTTCCTCTTTATTATGTTATGATGTTATTATGTTATTTGTTACTACCACAGCAATAATTAGCCTGGGGCTCAGCCTCAGGTATCATCAAAGTATGCACCTTTACAAAACAAGTGCGTGTACATGTGACAGTCTGTTTGTCAGCTAATCAAGATGGAGCACAGCGTTCCCCTGAGGAAGCACAGAGGAGGAGACAGGAGCAGAGGCTGTGACTGGGGGAATGGATGAATGCGGTGATAAGGAGCTGTGCCTGGGCCCTGACACATCGAAGCAGCAGATGGATGACTCTTATCGGGACATCACGGAGCGCACACTCACGCCTCTGCCCCGCGACACGGAGCCATGATCACACCAGACAGACGAGAAGGCCTGCCCCCCACCTCCACCACATCACACATGCACTGGAAGGCATGCCATTGGAATAATAGGGAAATTCTACTCAAATCACTTGCATTTACATTCATGAATAACAAGCCAAAGCTACACTGCGTACATTTTCTGGTCTCCATGGGGTTAATGCTTTGCCTGTAATGTTCCACAGAATGACATTAAACTTATTTGTGGACATAAACAGTTGCCACCAGATTAGTTATAGGTTTTCAAGGTATTTTTGAGCAATAACAATGCTCATATCGAATTAAATGCCGGATAAATATGTTTAATGCCATGCTGTGGAACATTCCAAGCAACTCCATGGAGACAAGATGTCATAGAGGTCTATACCTCTGTAGTTTTATTTCTATTATGTGAACTGTACAAGATAAGCCATGATTATGCCAAATCTGAACTAGGCTTCTTTAGGAGTCTGAACTGGGGCAAAACCTTGACTAACCAAGAACTAGACCAGAAATAAACCAGGCCTTATCTTGCACTTCACAAATAGCCTGGACTAAATCAGGATTGTGCTAGGATGTAACCAGGACTGAACCAGGAAAATCAGACTTCACTATTTACATTTTTAAAAATCTGTGTACAAATCTTTCTACCATACCTAATACAGTAGTAGATCAGCCTACAATTAATCATTGTCTTATAAAAATCATGGGTGGTCTAAATAAATATAGCATCATATATGTTTATTTATTCTTTTTAGTACAGGTTACATTTACTTCAAATAGCCTATTGTTCATTCAAAATTATAGTTCTATCGCATCTTAATTAGCTTGATCCTGATTCCTGACATCCTTATTTTTCCCTTGAAAACGTATTGAAAATATTATAATTTCTTATTCCCCAGTCACACCAGACAGACAAATAGACCCACCCCCACCCTTCACATTCACACCTACACACCAGCATCCGACAGCCAACAGATTGCTGGGCTTACCCTTGTTGTGTGTGTGTGTGTGTGTGTGCGTGTGTGTGTGAAATTGAAATTCACCTGAGGCCCAGTGTCTTCGAGGATGTGTGCACGGACAGATAAGAAAAATCTATGTTTTTCATCTTAATTGAAAGTATAAAGAAGCTGCCACGCACTTGTTGTCAACATGTGTCAAAGTAGAGGAGTTTATTTGTGAAACTATGCAAATCTACAATGAGACTGGGGTATCTTGGCAGAAAAGTGAAACATATTTCACAAAAGAATGAAATATTAAGAGAAGAAGAATTACAAGAGGATGAAATATTGACTATATATGTAATTAAACAGACTAATAATAAAGGGTTGAGTAACCCTTTATCATGTGTGAATAAAAACTCCGGGTATGTTTTTGATGAGGTCACAGCATTCCGACATGGCTTAAAGCTCATAAGAGTCAGTTTTGTGTAATATAGGACCTGATGCAGTGTTTGTTTTGCAGGTAAGATTTAAATC